CTGAGAGAATTCTGTTGGGGTACAATCGATGTTTGGATAGGTCCGGGGAAGTTCAAGAAGGTATTTCTCAAATGTCTCAAGTTTTGTCAGTAACACTGAGCTTAGACTGGGCTACTCTTTCTTTGTAGTCTTAGGACCTCTCTATGGTCCTCCCTGGAATGCTGGTTGGTCATCTCTTCCTCCTCCTCTTCCTCCTCTTCTTCCTCTTCATCCTCTTCCTCCTCTTCCTCTTCTTCTTCTTCCTCTTCCTCATCCTCTTCTTCCTCCTCCTCTTTCTTCTCCTTCTCTTCCTCCTTTTCTCCTCTTCCTCCTTTTCCTCTTCCTGTTCTTCCCTTTCTTCCTCTTCTTTCTCCTCCTGTTTTCTTCTCATATTTTAGGAATTTTATTTGGTATCTATAAATTCCTTTGCATAGGATAGTTATAAAGCAAAAATTCAGATAATAGGAAACTGGTTACATCCGTATACAGTAGAATATAATTTTAGCTATGCATGCAAATCTTGTGTGTTAAATTTCTAATAAGATGACTTTGTTCTCCAGGAGTGATAGTCAAGAGACAGGAAGACTCCTAAGTCAGAACCTATAAAGATACAACTTCCATGGGGTCTGTAGTTCAAGAAAGTAACATGGAGGTTTTTAATGAGAATTTTGGTTTCTTTAAAAACAGAAATATTATAAAAATGTGTTTTCATTTTAATCCCATGTGTGGGATATGGGGCTGCTTTAGATTGTCCACAGCAACTGACTATGATTTGCATTGTGCTCTGGCAGGGGTATGATTTCACCAGCTGCAGATAATTTTTGTGAGTGTGGGACATTTGAAATTCTGGGGACTTTTCAGAGGATATATAAATGCCAGAGCCCCAGTAGGGTGGGACTGATTGGCTGGCTGGTGGTTGGACAGTGATGGTGTACACCTTTAATCCCAATATTTAGGAGGCAGAGGCAGGTGGATCTCTGAGTTGAGGCCAGCCTGGTCTACAGAGTGAGTTCCAGGACAGTCAGGTCAGGGCCACACCAAGAAACCCTGTCTTGAAAAAAACATGAACAAAAGGTGCTCAAAAGAGATATAAGTCACTTGGGAGGCAGAGGCAGGCGGATTTCTGAGTTCGAGGCCAGCCCGATCTACAAAGTGAGTTCCAGGACAGCCAGGGCTACACAGAGAAACCCTGTCTCGAAAAACCAAAACAAACAAACAAAAAAAAAACAGATAAGTCAAACCATTATGACTGTCTTAAGGAAGAGGTAAATCCATATATAGGAGTAGGGGGGAGGGGAGGGTGTGGCTAGTGAAGATGGATGGGGCTGCAGAGAAGGTAGAGGTAGGACATAAGGGGGTTTGAAGAACATTTATATGATGTTAGAAAGTAAAAACAAGTAATATAGCAAGGTCCCACGTCTTCATTCTGAAATATTTCCTGGGTTGACTTCCACAGCAAAAGGTCTTTGTGCAGGCACATTTCAAAATGTTTGGAAAATCTTAAATTGAAAAATATTGAACATTCATAGTGTTTGTAGAGTTTCATGGTAAATATCCAACCAGGACTGCCCACTTTCTACACTTACGTTTTTGCATGCTGGATTTACCATGTGCTTAACGTAGATACGGTATTCCCACAGAGATGACCCAGTGGTCAAAAGACCTTACTGTTGAGCTTGACCTCTTGAGTTCAGTTCCTGAGTCCCTGCTGGTGGAAGGAGAGAACTGGCTCCTGAAAGCTGTCTCTGACCTCCACATGCACTCCACGGCACACATATCACCTCCATAAACAAATATAATTAAAACATTTTAAATACAGTAAATGATACAATTACTCATTGGTTTTACTTCCGCCTGTCCATCAAACTATACTATTGTATTGATGCACTTAATCTACTTAATACAAATGTGATAGGCTTTTCTGAATTGTGTGATATCGTAGCAAGTGTTAGTTTTTAAAACTCTTGATATTTTAAGGTATATTTATTTGTTGTATGCATATAAATATTTTACCTGCATATATGTATGTGGACCATGTGTATGCCTGGAACTGGAATTACAGACTGTTGTGAGCCACCATGTTGGGGCTGGGAACTAAACCTAGGTTCTCTGCAGTAAGTGCTCTTAAATGCTTTTTGACTTGTTCTCATGCACAGATCCCACGTATTGTAGAGTGGGAGATAGAATAGAACTGTGAGAAAGTTTGGAAGGTTGACATGATTAGTTGATCACCAGCATCCCAGACCCTGTGAGATATTAGTCATTTGCTACAGACAATAAGCAGACTATGTTGGCTGAACCTGTGTAAAATGCATGGGATCTAAATGAAACTTTGCTGTGCTCAGAGCCTCTCAATATCACACCTATCAGAGCTGGGCTGTAGCTCAGTGTTAGAGAATGCAGTTGCCATGGGCAAGGCTCTGGGTTCACTCTGTAGCAGTAGAACCAAAAACACATACCAGGATTCTCCCACATGCCCGACAACCTGAAGGACAGTGTTTCCCATTTGGAGGTGAATGTACCCCATAGTGGACAGTTGACAATGTCTGGAGACATTTTTGGTTGTCACAGGAGTAGCGCATAGGCGGTTTACTGAATGGAGCCAAGAAATCCTGCTAAACACTCTCCAGTGCACAGAATAGCCCTTTACCGTTTTATAACCCCAAACGGCACCTGCTACAGGCTAAAGGTATGCTATCTATAGGAGGAAGTCAATCGCATTTTGCCCTCAAAGCAAACTTTTTTTTCTCTTTTTAGAAAGTTGATGTGCTATTTTTACCTTTTTTAAGGTCAAGAAGAGAGGCTGGAAAGATGGCTCAGGGGTGGTTAAGAGCATGTTACTACTATTGCAGAAGACCCTAGTTTAACTCCCAGCACCCACGCTGGGTGGCTTGCAACTGTAAATAACTCCTATACCAGAGAGATGTGAAGCTTACCTCTGTGGATACCTGTATTCGTAGGCATAAATCTTCCCCCATACACATACTTTAAAATAAAATGTAAAAAGATGAAGAAAGAGGAACAACGACTCCTTATTGAATAACCAAGATACAAGCAGAGCTGGTGGCACAGCACACCTTTAATCCTACACTTGGGAGGCAGAGGCAGGCTAATCTCTGTGAATATGAGGTCAGCCTGGTCTAGTACCAGGCCAACTAGGGCTATATGGTTAGACCTCGACTCAAAACAAACAACATCCCCCTACCAACACAAACAAACAAACCCCCACAGTCAACAACAACAACAACAACAACACCTTCCTTCATTTTGGTATAGTTTTGAGTAGGGATGCTGGTGGAGAAGCAAACTGCTCATGAGTAGAAATGGACACATTATTGTATGAAAGACCTTTTAGGGAAACCACTGGGGGCCATGGTAGGCTCCCACTTTTCTCATCTGGATGCCAGGATATGTCATTTGAGGATAAAAAGAGTGGGAGAGGAGGAATGGAAGAAGAGGAAGAGGCATTTACAGTTTCCACACTTGCTCTGATTCCGTGGGCTCTGTTCTTACAGAGTATTCTGGACAGTGATGACATCAGCCACAGCCGTGTGACTCCACTTGACAAACCACCACCAAAGGTCAAACCAGAGAGTAGATCCTTGGATCTGTTTTCTAGAGCATGACCGCCACAGGGCCCACTGCTGTGTCATCCCCCGAGTTCGGCTGACCTGTGAATCATCTGAGGTGAGCGGCCCAAGTGTCCGTGTGGAGACTTGCAAGTGATAATCACTCCCATTGGATAACCAAGTAAACAGAGGTAGCAGGAAGACCTGATAACTTGCCCAGGACCGTACAGCTTGAAGGGTGATGAGCTGGGTTTGAGCCAGGAATTTGAGTCTAGCTTGAGAACACTTAAACACTATATCCTTCCCTTGACATATCACCAGGTGTGTCAACTTCATTGAAGTGTAACGTAGAGCACACACACAAAATGCCCAAATCAAAAGCATCTGACTCAATGAATTTTCACAGTGAGTATCCCTGTGTACTAGCAGGGAGATCAAAGATAAGCACACTGCCAGCCCCACAGGGCCTCCAGCCCCACAGGGCCACCAGCCCCACAGGGCCACCAGCCACCACCTCTCCACCCTATTTCTTCAACTTATTCATTTTAATTTTTGTTTATTTAATTGAGTGTATATATGTGAGTACAGGAATGCACAGGCCACAGCATGTGTATGGAGGTCATAGTATCACTTGGGGAGTTGGCTGTGGAACCCGGGAACCAAACTCAGGTCATTATGCCTGTTTGCAGTTGCTAATACCTGCTGACCCATTTTTCCTGCCCTATTTATTTATTTTGGGGTTTGTAGGGACATACATATGGAAATTAGAGAACATTTTTTTCAGAAGTCAGGTCACTTCTTTTACCTTCCCTTCGAGGCAAGGTACGTATGTACCTCTTGATTCTGCTGCAGTTCCACTTCCTCGAGGCTAGCTGGCCTTTGAGTTCCAGTTTCCATTTTGAATTAGAATTACTATGGTTACAGACAGCAGCCACTCTTCTGAATGCCACATCTGACTTCTACAAGGGGTTCTGGGGATTGGACTCATTGATGGATTTACATGGAAAGGGCTTTGACCCACTTAGCCATCTCTCTGACCATCTCTCTTCCATTTTTAGTCACACATATTTCAAGCACCATTAGGACTTGGAGTTTTTTGTTTGTTTACATGGCTTGCTTTTTTGTTTGTTTTGTTTTTTGGTTTTGTTTTGACACAGTTTGCTTTGTTGTTTAGGCCAGTCTTGAACTTGGAGGCTCAAGTGACCATTCTGCTTCAGCCTGCCAAATAAGTTGATTATAAGACTTTGTCACTAGGCGTGGCTTTTATGAAGCCTGCTGATAACGTTTAACATATTCTATCTTGAAAAAAAAGAGTGTTGGGGGGAACTCCAGTTTTGCCAAATTCTCTACGCCAATATAAGCTTAAGCCCCACCCCTCCAGGACTACATTTCCCAGGAGGCTGTGCTCTGGAGGCTTTTGGATTTAAGTAAGATTCTGAGCACCGCTTAAGCCAGCCTGTTGCTGAGTGTCCCGGAGTGAGAGGAGGCAAGAGTCAACAGAAGCTGCCAGGAATTGGAGCCAGAGAAGGATCCTCGGGCCAGGTTGAGGGTGGAAGCTGCAGAAGGCAATTAAGGCGGTTGACAAGATGCTGGCTGTCTTGGTACTGCTCACGTCGCTCCTCTCGATCTTGTATTTGACAGCTCCATCCATCAGGTTTGTCTTAACTCAGCAACTCAAAGATACTTTATGAAGCTGGTTTCAACTGCTAAAAGAAGAACGAGGGAAGGCTGCAAAGGCGAGATTAGTGCATTTAAAAATAGGAAAGGTGGGGTTATGGATGCCGTTGCTGTGGGGGGAAGAAAAAAAAACCGGAGAAGGAAGCACCTGAGTGGGAGGAGGTGGGGCTGATTTGAATTCGGCTGCTAAAGGAAGGCGGAGTAGACGGCTGTCCTGGCTCTTTGCTCCGATTCCTTTAGGTTTCTCTGACACTTTCCTTTTCTTTTCTGTTCCTAGGTAAGGTGGGTGTCATGGGGACTTCATCGTTAATGGACATCGTTAAAAGTGTCAAGTAGTGGACACTCTGGGAAGGAAACAAACCCTCTTCCCTTGATACTTCTCTCAATAAGTGTTGTGGGAATAATTCACTGGGGATTTATGGAGGTGTCAAGAAATGGCTATTCTGTGTGGAGAATTTAAAATTTGTTGATGATTAGGAAGGCTGGATAGGAGCCAAGTATGATTATGCATGCCTTTAGCTCCAGCACTCAAGATGCAGAGGTAGAGAGATCTCTGAGTTAGAGGATAGCCTGGTCTACAGAGCAAGTTTCAGGACAGCCAGGGCGAGAGAGAGAGAGAGAGAGAGAGAGAGAGAGAGAGAGAGAGAGTCAGTCCCTGTCTTGAACCCTTCCCCCTGACCCCCACAAAAGGAAGGTTAGATACTTATACTGAGGAGAAAGTGTACTTTGTCTTGGCCACCCTTAGAAATAATGTGAATATGTTTGGGCTTCAGGGTTTTTGGGTTGTTTTTGTTTTTTTAATGTAGAAATAATACTTAAATGGCTGGGGAAATTAATATAAATGACATATGGAAAGATAGTATGTATGGAAAATGTGGCAAGATAGTGAGTGTGGAGACTATCTAGCATTGGGTAGACTGAGTGTAGAAAGTGTTTAAACCTGAGGTAGATAGTGTATAGAAAATCAAGCCTGGGATAGACCTCATGAGTGTAGAAAGTGTCTAGCCTGGGCTCAATATTGAGTATAGAAAGTCTAACCTAGGCTAGACAGTGCGTGTAGAAAAAAAGAAAAAAAGGTAGTGTGTAAAAAGTGTCTAACTCAGTATCTGTCAGCCAGTAATGTTCAGGAAGTATTCTAGCCTCTCTGGTCTTGTTTTCAACAAGAAAGTTTTCTCTGTGTGCCAATGGCTTAAATAAAATCCTTAGCAAAGTGCCAGAAAGCCTCTCAAGATCCTATCTCTCTCGACTAAAGAGGAAGCTTGGGGTGGGGGGGGGGGAGTAGTTATATGTCAGCCCAGATGTTGTTTGCTAGTTGCCATGGTAACTATTGTTGCCGTAGGGCTCAGGACCATTGAATTCTCTAATGTGTATTCACCCATGTGATTCCAATGTGGGTCAGAGGAGGAAGCTGACCCGAAGGAGTCTAGAGATTAGACTGATAACATTTTTAACTGATAAGGAACGTCTCCATTGGCTCAGGAGCACTTTCTCTGCTTGCTCAGGTGACCATTTTTAGCTTCTGGACACATGACCTTTCAATTCTTGTCTATGAGCTGGCTTCTACCTCGCCCAACCAAAAAGTGGTCCCTGCAAATTAACTTCTAAGGATGGTAAAGTCTTATGACTCCAAGTTTGGATTTATGTGGCCTTACTTCTTTAATGTGTCTCAGCATGAGGCTGGGAAAATGGTGCTTGTTTTTCCTCTCTTTGGCTATAGGAGGTTCTTTGCTGGTGGAGTCTGTACAACAGATGTGCATATCCCGGGGAAGGTAGTGGTCATCACAGGTGCCAACACGGGCATTGGCAAGGAGACGGCCAGAGAGCTTGCTCGAAGAGGTGAGTCCTGTCCTGTCTCTGCAGGGCCATACCTCCCGCCCTCTTCACTAGGGTTCTGCCTGAATTTCCTTGTCTTTCATCCTGGGCGTGGAGGATCTGATGGGAATTCAAAGAAACTGGAATCCAGGTCCAGTGTGACACTAACTTATTCTGGCTTTGAGCGTAGATCCCTTTTGTCCCCTGTATCTTCCTTATTTCAGAAAGTAAGGATGATGTCTCAGTATAATATTGGTGAAGTCAGTTATTCTAAGGTAGATACTAAGCAGAATTAAATATTAGAGGGTTCTTGGCCCCACTGTAAGAATTTGGAAGTGGCAATATGGCCACTCCACTGCCATAGGGACAGCTTTGAGTATGTTCTACCTATCAGCCCTAGTTCACTTCCCGTACCTCTGCACACATTGCCCTGTTTACTTTGGTTCCAGGAGCACGAGTATATATTGCATGTCGAGATGTGCTGAAGGGAGAGTCTGCTGCGAGTGAAATCCGAGCAGACACCAAGAACTCCCAGGTGCTAGTGCGGAAATTGGACCTATCTGACACCAAATCCATCCGAGCCTTTGCTGAGGGCTTCCTAGCAGGTAAGGTTCCAGCGAGTAGGCAGGAAGGCAGGAAACTAAATGTGGGATGGTTACTCCACCCAGGACATTTATGGCTCTTGCATCATACCCATGATCCCACTGGGCAGGTTTAGCTACATAAACCAGCTGGACAGGGAATTGGCAAAGGGACGGCGGGTGGACAAGCTGGGCAGGATCCTTATCGGCATTTTGCTCCACAGTGGGAATCTTGGAAGTGTCATCTCCGAGTCTGAGCTTGTACCTTAACATAAGGTGTGGCCCAGATTCTGCTCTTTTCTTTCATCCAGAAAATCAGCCTTCTGTAGCTACAGGCACTAGATGAGTTTGTGCCATTGTCAAAAGGCTCCTGTGTCTTGGGAAATTACCAACATATACCAAGAACTGCGGCTCCTTGAGGGACAAGGTTTAGGTGTTCCTTGTTTTACCATGTCTTCCCAGGGCCCATCAATGTGGGCCTGCTCCAGAGTTGGTAGTTAGTATGCATTGGGTATATAAATGAACAAATTATGTCCAGGAAGATATCGACAGGTAAAATTAGAAACCCAATGACAATGGAGAGACCATATCACACAGACAGGTCCAGATGGGGATAGTTACTGACTTCTGAGCCAACACCTTATCTTGGAAGACAGGAGAAAGATGAGCAATAACCATGCCCAGCAAAGAGTATTCACAGACGAAAGCCTAAGCCAACACTTGGGATAGTGACAGGTGGATGGAAGATGCCTTGCTAGCCACAGATCTCCTTGATTGTTCTCAACAGAGGAAAAGAAGCTTCATATTTTGATCAACAATGCAGGAGTGATGATGTGTCCATATTCTAAGACAACAGATGGCTTTGAAACCCACTTTGGAGTCAACCACCTGGGTAAGTATCTTTGGATGACTAAAAAGTGAGTTATATCCTACCTTGTTCTTTGTAGGAAGATGGCCCTGAATCAGGGTTCAGGATCTCCACTGGTCCTCATAGAGCCTCATAGAATCCTCAGAGGATTCACCCTACACTAGACACATGGCTAAGCAGTCAAAAACGTGACTCTGCATTCTGTCCAGAAGCCCCATCTTAGATGATGCTAGGGAGAAAAAATGTCATCCTTGGATGGGGCAGTGGCAATGCAGGGCTTGTTGGGCAGGGTCAACCTGTGGGTATTCAGGAATCTGGATTTGGCAGGGGAAGTAACATCCATATGAGAACTGAAATAAACCTTGGGCTGCTCTAAGTGAACCGTGAGGCGTTGACATGCAAGATAAATTGGTGCTCAGAGTTTCCAGCGAAGGTTCTCGTTAGGGGAGCATGTGGCTTATCCTTGGAGCCTAAGCAAGTGCTATTTTCCCTGACTACCATAGCTTTCCCTCTGTATGAGTGTAAGGGCCCACAGTTATACAGAGATAGTGGAGGCTAGCAGATATATATAAATTATACATACATCAATGTAGATTAGATATTGTCTTACTGCAGTCTAGCTTTGTCTCTTGCTTTGGAGAATGGACTAACGTAGAGTAAGTGGCCAGTTAGCACTGAGTGACTCAATGTGTCAAACTTTATTCACACTCAGAAGGCAGAGATCTGATTCAGAAGTCCTGTCAGGGGCAGCCCTGCTTATACACTGAAGGCCTAAAAATCAGCCATAGGCCTAAAAATCAGCAATAGGCCTGACATACGTGCCTGCTAGCACCAAGTCTTGGGTCTCTCTGGAAAAACACTGAAACAGATAGCTATAAGATATTGTAAACAGGACTTCCGGTCTGAGCCTGAGCATAGAGCAGGTCACAGGCGGCAGCTCCGTACCCAACACCAGAAAACCGAGAGAAAGAGGGACTCCCAGGAGCTTTCACTCAGGCAGCATCCCAGGTAAAAATGAATCACCCGTGATGTCTGCAGTTAGAAGTTCTAATCCAGATTCTGGCCTCCAAACTTATACTACTCAGACCTTTGAAGGGCCACTGACAAGAACATCAAACAGCTAGAGATTGACATCACTAATCTGAAGAAATCCCTCGTTTCGCCGTCTGAAGAGACCTCCTAAAATCTCAAAGATCCTTATTGGACTTGATTTACTCTAGTACAATAGAAAAGGCTGTGTACAGCTCTTGACTGTGTACAACCCTCAAAGAAGGTTGCCTTTACATAGACAAGACAAGGAGGGTTAAAGAGAGCATGAAATAGGTAGTGAAGCCTAGGAAAAATCAGAGAGAGAAAGAGACAGATGAATGCTGGTACAAGAATTGATTTGCAGCCTCTCCAAGGTTGTCAACCCTATTTCCTTCCATCTTGGGACCATTATTTGGGTTCTTTTTGCTTTTTTCTGCTGGTCCCTGGCTCTCAAATAGGCAGACTAACTCTGTGATACAACAGATAAATAATTTGGTAGCAAAACCTACTCAGATACATTATCATAAGTTAGCTATGGAGGACCATGAGACTCAAGATGAGGTTGTTACTTTATACAGGGTGTTTCCAAAACCTATCTCCACCCAACCTAAAAAGGGGGGACTTCTGCCCCTAGACCAAGCAGAGAGGGGCCACCCAGAACCCCCTCTGACAGGCGATCTGAATTCTTGCTTAGGCTGCGAGGGAATATCAATAAAAGATAAAAATATCTATCTGGGTTCCCTGAGGGACAAGCCTGACTGCATAGGGGTTGATGTCAAAAGTATCCCCTCTCCAGGAAAAAGACATCGGGACAGGTATGGCCCTCATGCCTCACTGGACAACGACAGGGGGACTGGAGCCATTACAAGGTCCCCTTCAAATACTGGAGGTCAGGCCTCTATCCCCGCCTTCACAAGTTTAGAATTGCCACAGCCCTTCTATACTTAGAGAAGGGAGGAGATGTCAGGGGCAGTACTGCTTACACACTGTAGGCCTACAATCAGCCATAGGCTGATCAGCAGTGGGCCTGTCATACATGTATACTAACACCAAGTCTTGGGTCTCAGTGGAAGAACATTGAAACAGATGGCTATAAGCTAATGTCAATGGGCAGCTTTTGTGGAAATTTATAAGCCTGAGTGGTCATGGACCTTGTAAATAGGTAGCCTTGGCAGACAATACCAGCTTAGATGGGGGACAAGCGAGTCATAGGCAGAGTCATGGTGACTTGTCCCCTGAACCTTCACCCAGCCGATACTTGGTTCTGAAGATATCTGTATTTCCCCTGAGCACCCACACTCCAGTGTCATTCCCTTCCCCACGTCCTGCCTCTCTGTGTTTATACCCCTGTGTGAGTTAATTATGATTTGAGAAAAAAATAAAAAATAATAAAAAAGAATGGAAAAAAGAAAAATAAGACAAAAAAAAAGATATTGTAAACAGGCAGCTTTGGTGGAAATTTACCAGCTTGGATAAGAACTAATAGTCATAGACCTTGTAGATAGGTAGCCTTGGTGGATAGTACCAATTTAGATAAGGACAAGTAAATCATAGGTGGAGTCATAGTGATCTGTCTCCTGAACCTTCACCCAGCTGACACTCTCTTCTGGAAGATATCTGTACTTCCCCTGAACACCTACGCTCCTGTGTCATCCCCTTCCCCACATCCTGCCTTTTCGTGTATATAACCCGTGTGCAAAAAAGTAAAAATTATGGTTTGATCAGCCTATATTCAAGCCATGTTTTCTTTGCGTTTGCCCGTTTTTTCCCCCATTCTTTCTTAGGTGATATCCCCAGACCCTGTTTAATGCCCTGCTGGACAGGACAAAGTCCTATCCTTCAATCCACATACCCTGAGCCTAGGGATATTCTATCTTTGAAGTTTTCCTTTTGGGTTGCTTTGCAGGCCACTTTCTTCTTACATACCTGCTTTTGGGAAGGCTGAAGGAGTCTGCTCCCGCACGAGTGATAAACCTATCCTCAGTGGCCCACCTTCTTGGCAAGATCTGTTTCCATGACCTCCAAAGCCAGAAACGATACTTCAGTGCTTTTGCGTATGGCCAGAGCAAGCTGGCCAATGTGCTTTTCACTCGAGAGCTGGCCAAGCGGCTCCAAGGTAAGTGTGGAGAAATAATAAAATATTAAGTATCTTATTATTTTAAAAACTATAAAAATATTATTTATATATGATATTTATTATATTATATATAATCTTTTAATTATAAAAATAATAAAATATTTATTTTATTATTTAAAACAAAAACAAAAACCAGAACAGAATCCTTGGTCCAGATTATAGGTTCATAGAAACTTCTGGAACCAGGCTCTTGAGCATATATTTTTAAGTAGTCTTCTGTATAGTCCAGAAAATGATAACTGTGCTTTTTGCTCTGAATAAGTGAGTTTACTTGGTAATAGCAAGCAAAAATAAAAGAATATATAGTGAGTAGCAGGTAGAAGCAGCTGATGGATACTAAAAAATTATCGAATGGTGTGCTAACAATATCTATAAGAGGCAACAAAAGTCACTGAATTGAGAGAACAAACAAAAGATACCACACCACGACAGGGTCTTCAGACATCTAGCAACAGTTAACTGAGGAAGCCCCTTCGTAGCAGCCAGTTGGAGTTCTGACTGAGAAAATTGCATAGAACACAGAACAGCCTCCAAGTGAAAGAACAAGTAGCCTCAGCTGAACATAACATTGTCAAAGTAGCCGCCTACAATGTCCAGCAAAGACCAACTAACCATTGAGACTGAAGCAGTCATTGGAACTCCCCCATTTAGCTTGTGCTCCATGGATGAGCTTCCAGGAGCTGCACTTCTGGGTCCCTGTTCCTTCTCCAGGTTTGTTGTTGTTGTTGTTGTTGTTATGGGATAGACAATAGTAACCTTTGGTTGGAAATACTTTACCTTCTAGTTGTTCTCAAGAACACAGTGTTTGTTTGTTTGGTTTGGTTTTTCAAGACAGGGTTTCTCTGTGTAGCCCTGGCTGTTCTGGAACTCACTCAGTCTGTAGACTAGGCTGGTCTCAAATTCAGACATCAGCTTGCCTCTGCCTCTTGAGTGCTGGAATTTAAGTCGTGGGCCACCAAGTGGCTAAGAACACAATGGTTTTTTTTTTTGTTTTTTGTTTTTTGTTTTTGTTTTTAACACTCTTAGCATTTTTTCCCTCTCCCCACTACAGAACCAGGGGCTATCCTGACCCAGGAAAGGTCAGGGGCTTTTGGAAGACATTTGACATAAATATACTTGAGCTTGAAGGTAGGCAACCCAACTTTCAGAACGAGCTTCTCAGTGAGTTCAAGCAGCATGTAAAATTTTACCAGGACAATGTACATTCCAAGAAGGAACTTGTATGCTGAAAGGAAGGAGATTGTATACAGAATGGTGGGGCTGTCCCACAGGAAGCACTGCATCTAAGAGGTGCTGGAACACTGAAGTCACCTGATACTTGTTACACTTTTGCCTCCTATTATTTTGTTTTGTTTTTACGACAAGCCTTTGTAACAGTCAGAGTGGGTATTATTCTTCTATTTTATGGGTCAGAACTGAGATTGTGGAACTAGCTAGATCGGGTTTATACAGCAAATGGAGTTATTGGTCTGTACCTCAGGAATTACTTCTATAGTTCGTAAAGGGGTCAGAATTGGAACGGGGGCTCCCTGTAAGCCTGGAGCTCTTCCTCCTGTGTGCCTTTCTCTGAGTTCTGCTAAGCTCTAAAGGGGTTCTTGCCTACCATTGGCGAGTTAGGGCTGGATTCCAGGATCCTGGGCCTGAGTTCTTTCTCTTCCATATGTGAGGGCTGTATATATATAGACCTGTTCCTTTCGCTTCCCCAACTGCTTCCTCAACTGTCACATGAGACTAATAATTGTAATTATTACTAATTCTGCACTTCCCTGGGGTCTAGGTAAGCTATGGGCTCTGATGTCTCTGAGTCTGGGGGACTGCTTGATATTGTGAGTAATTCAGACTTTGGGAAGAATAGTCTGTACCAGAATGCCAAAGCAGAAGATTAGGACAATCCTGGCAATGAATATTAACGCCAGGGAGCTTCATGTGCCCGACAACGTATGAGCCTCAAACTGTTCGAATGAGGTAGTCACTACTATTTTCCTCTCTCTACAAATGAAGAAAGGTGCAACTGTATTAAGGAATATTTGTTAAGTAAGTAGCTGAGCGTTCTCACTCTGAAATCTAGCACTCTTTACTCCATGTGAGGTGTTAGACCTTGGTCTGCAGCCGACTAGATATGGCCTTGGGCGATGTATTTAATTTCTCTGCATTTCAGCTTCTTTAGTATGTGAACATCTTAATGTTACTACTGCATAAGCCTCTTTTTAGAGTGGAGATGTGACTGGCCTCTGTCCACTGCTTGAGAAGTCCTCCTGCCTCTGATTAGTTGAACAAGAAGGCACTGTCCCAAAAAGGAGAAGCAAAGGGCGGCACAGAATTGTTTCACCTTGGTGGCAGGTGACACCTGTGTTGGGTAGAGCTGGTATCAGGAAGAGACGCTCTCTAACCATCAGATGATCAAGAGTTTTGGCCAGACCTTTGGACACATTTTGAGGCAGTGAGGAGCTAGGTGCTCAGACTGCATGTTGAAATGGATTAATAAGGAACTTAGTGACTTGACCCGTAACCCTCCCCCACAACGCCCTACGGGTCAATTGAAGATAATGTTTCTTTAAGAAGCCACAGTTAAGCAGCCCGATGACAGCCGGTACCAAACCAGTGTACTCTTTTTTCATAGTTTATTTCCCCATGGTGCCATGTTTCTCAACCAGCCAAGGTTGCATTTACAACTGGATTCATTGTCCAAATGTTAACAGGAATAGCATCATTTGTCTCAACATCTGGAGACTGCAGCAGTCTCCTGCTTGAGTTGTTCCCTAAGTTACTTTGTCCATTTTGTCCACTGCAAAGTGAGCCCAACTTACATGTCCCATGTATCCTTAGTGTCAGAGATTCCAATCTACAAAACAGTGTTGTAGACGGGAGTGCATCCTGGGAATGACTCTGGAAGGACAGAGGAATGTCACCTTAAACTCAGAAGAGCCTGCAGGATAGCCGGAACCAAGTCTAAATGGCTTTGTTGATTTTCTTATCCAGCTGCTCCCCTGACAGACCTCACCTTCATTTTATTTTCTCCCAGGTTTGGACAATAACTACTTTCTAAAATAGTTCTAAGTGAAAAGTTGTCCAAGATTGGTATGTTTTTAAAAAATAAAATGTGTGTGTTATGTGGCCAGTATCATCACATTTTTTAAATAGAATGTGTGTATTATGTGGCCAGTATCATCACATTTTTTAAATAGAATTTGTGTATTATGTGGCCAGTATCGTCACTTTAACTTGGTTGTGAGAGACACTCTTGTTGTCACATCAAAGGAAGCAATGGCATTCTAGCTGTGTCTCTTCTTGTGTAAGGCATCCACTGTTAGAGGTATACTCTGTGTTCATAACTGATGTGGCTGAAGAGCTGGTATTGGATTTATAGAATCATCAGAAGGGACAGTGTGTGATGAGTTATGCGTGTCAGTAAAGGAATGGCTCGCTCTTATTTTACGGAGAGTAGAAACTGAAAGACGAGCACCTTCTGCCTTCTAAATTAAAATCTCAAAGCCTGTGTAGTTTTCATTTAAGCTACTGGGAGACATTCGAGTTATTAGCCCATCTTCCATCACATGGTTTAATATCCCACTGACTAACTGATGCAAGCTGTTAGTGGCTGATTGTCCCAATGATAACTCTGCTAGTAACTGATTTATTTTCCATAAGTAAAGTTGTATAAACCAACAAACCAACCAACCAACCAACCAACCAACCAACCAACCAAACAACAAAAGTTTAAAAAGAGATGGTATAACACAGGCAAAGTGTACAGTGTGGACCTGGTAGGTAAAAAGTACAGACAATGAGGTGGTGCCAGAGTTGTGTTGGGGGCAGCATAATATCCCATAATTTCTACCAACACCCCTCCATCCATTCCTCATAAATGTGCTTGCGCAACTAGCCTCTACCCCAACCTTTCATACAGATTGTTGTCCCAAAGCTTCTCCCGTATGGCAAAGATACTGCCATTAATGATTAACACTGCTAGTTCCCACATGCTTTTATTAGTAAGTAGTATGTAAGCCCCCAGATAAGAACATTGAAATAGGACTTTGCGTTTGGAGCATAGAGAGCTGAGTAGAGACCTTCCTCGGAGAGATTAACTCATCACTAGGCAGGGTGAGCAGAACCTTTTGAAGCCTAGGCTTTTATTTCCCAAGTCCCTTCTTTTAATTAATTCATTAATTAATTAATTTTACATCCCAACCACAGTTTCCCCTTCCTCCTCTCCCCTCAGATTCTCTCTCTCCTCTCCCCCCAACCCATTCCTCTTTTCATTTCTCTTCAGAAAAGGGCAAGCCTCCCGTGGATATCAGTCAGCCATGGCATATCAAGTTGCAGTTACACTAGACCCCCTCCTCTCCTGTTAAGGATCAACAACACAACCCAGTAGGAGGAAAGGGTCCTAAAGGCAGGCAACAGAGTCAGAGATATCCCCTGCTCCCACTGTTAGGAACCCTACAAGAAGACTGAGCTACACAGCTATAACATATGTGAGGAGGGCCTAGGTCAGCCCCATGCAGGCTCCCTGGTTGGCAGTTCAGTCTCTGTGAGCCCCTGGGAGTCCCAGGTTAGTTGATTCTGGGGGTTTTCTTGTGCCTTTGACCTGGGTGTACCACATAGGCGGTGACTCCAGTTCCTACAAGACATGCTAGGGTAAAGATTATGGTGCAGAAATTGTGGAAGTGGCCAACCAATGACTTGCCCAGCTTGAGACCCATGCTTTGAGAGGAAGCTCATCACTGACACTATCTGGAAGGCCAAGACCAGGCTGGATAGCCCAGATACCTAGGGTAGAACCAGATAGGACTGGCAGGAGAAAAAAAAAGTCAGTGAAATGATTCCTAGTGATAGTCTGCTATACTCATAGATTGGTGTCTAGCCCAGTTGTCATCAGAGAGGCTTCACCCAGCAACTGATGAACTGATGGAAACAGATGCAGAGACCACAGCCAAACATTAGGCAGAGCTTGGGGAATTCTGTGGAAGAAGGAGGTGAAGGATTGTAGGAGTCAGAGGGACTCCTACAAAGTGTGTCCCTGGTCTTATTGTGTTCTCTTTGTCCTAGGAACTGGAGTCACCACCTATGTGGTACACCCAGGAATTGTCACATCTGAGATCACAAGGCACTCCTACCTGTTGTGCTTGTTATGGCGGCTCTTCTCACCCTTCTTCAAGTCCACTTGGCAGGGGGCTCAGACCAGCCTGCACTGCGCCCTGGCGGAGGGCCTGGAGCCCCTGAGTGGAAAGTACTTCAGGTAGGAGCTGGCAGTGCCCAGTGGGCCTGCAAATTGCAGCCCCTCAGGAGCTTCACGCTAGTCCAACTCCTTGTGCCCTGATGGTGGAATCCAGGCTCGGGTTGGGTCTGCAAACCAATTGCAGTGAGTTTTCCAAAGACACTTAAGTTAGAAAGAATTGCTTTTCTCGCTCTGTTTTATCCCAGTGTGCCATCTTTCTGTGAGCACCGTTGCTTTCTGAAAGCCGTAAAGACTTTCCCTGTTGGGTTGTGCTATTGCAAGAATGTTAGCGGGGCCCCTCCAGATTTTTTTTCTTTAAGGCTCGGCTGATTTGACATTTGAATTCTTTGGCATCATAAAATGCTAGGGGGAGGTCATGTCTACCCAGTGGGAACCCTCCCCCTCAGTGCTGTCAGGACTGGTCTTGCCTGTTGGTGTGTAGGGATAGAAATTTGGGTACCACATGTAAACACGACTCCACATGTAGCCAGAGCTTCCAAATAAGGAGTCCAAGACAAAGGCTCCCTGCCTCTCTGTGACTTAATCCAGCCTAGTTTGTCTGCTGTCCTTGGCTAAGCGAGGCACCATTTCTTAAGTAAAGCAATCAGGGTAGGCTTAGTGTCTGTCGTGGGGTAATGGATGAGTGGCAGCAGCCAATACTGCCTGAACCCTTGGACTGTGTTTGCCACCCAACTGTGTGTATTGATCGATGCAGTCCTCTCTACCTGCCTCTGCCTCCCGAGCACTGGGATTAAAGCATCATGCTACCACATTCCACTTCTCGATTTACTTTAGAGGCAGCTTCTACCTGTGCAGTCCAGTCTGGCCTCAAACTTAGGATTCTTCTGTCTCAGTCTTCTGAGTGCTAAGATTCCAGCTATGGCCCAGTATGCCTACCTTCTTTTTCTTTTTCAAGTGTAGCCACTGGAGATTTATGATTTTGTATGTGGCTCCTATTTCTGGTTCGCATCCTTTGTTGTGGTTGTGTTTTATTTTTTTTGAGACAGGGTCTGTCTAGGTAGTCCTGGAGCTCTTTCTGTAGACCAGGCAGACTTGGAACTCATAGAGATCTGCCTGCCTCTGCCTCCTGGTTGGCAAGTGCTGGAATTAAAGGTGTACACCACCATGCCTGGCATACATTCCATTAATATTGAGCAAATCTACCCCACAATCTGAGTGCTTATATTATTGCCTTATGAATGTGACAGATACTATATAGTCATTTAATGTGATTTCAGAAAATATTAAATTAATAAGGGATTTTCATGATACAATGTTATAAACAAACAAGCAAACAAACCACAGAAGACAAAGCTGTAAATGCTGGAGATATAGGCCAGCAGTTAAGAGCTCTTACTGCTCTGGAAGAGGACCTCAGTTCAGTTCTCAGCACCAAATGTCTCACAACTGCTTGTAACTTAAGCTCCAGAGGATCTGACACCATCTTCCTGCCTCTACAGGGACCCCCACATGTGTATAAACCCTCACTCAGACACACATAGATACATATAATTAAAAATAAAATCTTTCTAAAAACCATGTAAACATTTGTTACAAATAACATAATGAATAGTGTAGACAGACCAGTCAGTGCTTAGTAACAGTTACTTCAAGGGAGTTTGGGAAAGAGCCAGGCAAGGTGTGAAAGAGGATTACAACTTCTTCTTCTAGGTATTTCCTTATCATTCAAAATGTTTTTAGAAGAACATACATTTATTTGCTGTCTATCTAATTAAAATACATTTTAACAAAAGAAAGACTTCCCCAAACTAAATAGAGGATCCTACTTTTGAATAAAAGGAAAATAGATATAAACTTATGTATACCTTTAGATAAACAAACAAGGATGAAAAACGGCAGTCAAAGGATAGGCTTTTTTTTTTCTATCGGAATCATACTTTACAAACATCATATAGAAGTTTTATAGGTATAAAAAATAGAAGCGTGCCCCATGGGGCATTCTATCTCTCTTCTGTTATTCCTCCTGGCCTTACTCCCTCTGCTCACTTTAAAACAGGACAGTGCTTAAATAGGGCCCACTGGGCACAAATCCCTCTGGTTGGAATTCAGAATTTCTCTAAACTTAATAAGAAAGTAAATGTGGTATTATCTGTGACTTTGCCATCATAGGGTTACAGGTATTTTCACATCATATTGCATAATTGAAGATAATTTCATGATGTCTCTTTTGCTCACAATTGCTTTGAAGTAGCATTCATCCATCTGGTATTATATCTTCTTGTAAACTATAGAAAGAAAAAGCCTATTCATTATTATTTAAAGTTTAATTATGTATGTATATGTGCATACATGTTTATTTTTTAAAGATTTTTTTTCAATTTATGTGTGTAAATGTGAGTATATGCCCGTGTGTGAGGCAATGGAGGCCAGAGAGGATATTGTATCCTCTGAAACCAGAGTTCTAGGTGGTTGTAAGCTGCTTGACATTGTGCTGGGAATCAAACTCAGGTCCTCTGGAAGAGCAGCAAACATTGTTAGCTACCAACTTATCTCTCCAGCTGCTATATTTTGGTTTGTCAAGATGGTCTAATTATAGCCCAGGATAGGCTCAAAGTAATTATGGAGCCAAGGATGATTCTTCCTGCTTCTGCTTCCTAAGGGCTAGGATTACTTAGGCTGTGCCACCACACTTGGCCCTGAAATACTTAAGAATTCATTTCAGTGTAGTTTCTTTAAGTCCAGTGCACATATTTTATATCATTGGAAATCTATTTTGAGGAATGTATTCCACAAGGGCCAGGTTTCATTCTAACATTCACCCTCTCTGTCTACCCAGTGACTGCAAGAGGATGTGGGTATCCCCAAGGGCCCGGAACAAGAAGACAGCTGAGCGCTTGTGGCATGTCAGCTGTGAGCTTCTAGGAATCCAGTGGGAATAATTGGCCTGAAGACCAGGGCCTTTTAAGGCCCAATCCATGCTGGAAAAAAAGGGGGACCAAAGAGAAGGCTGACCTGAAAGGATTATCCTCCTGGCTTGCTGCTGCTGTGATTCCTGCCTACGAAGAGCCTTCTGGAACCCTTTATACACATAACATTTTTTGTGAGGCAAGGTCGTAGTACAGGATGATAGTAACACTTCCAGATCATTCTCAAAGGCCTAGAGAATCCACAGCTCTCTAGGAGAAGAGAGCTGAACATGGGGGTGATAGAGGAGCTTGGGCAGTTGGATCAGTTTCCTCACCAGTAACACTGACATAGGAGCACCAGAACACTTACACGCTCATAGGAGCACCAGAATCACACGTTTCTATACCCTCACACTCTAGATCGGCCTCTTTTTCTTTGAAATGAAATACTAGTCACAACCATGGCATCTGGACCAACTCAGGAAGAAGTAGCTCACTTTGGCCAAGCTTCATTTCTTCCTTTGAGCATCCTGGAGCCTTTTTCACCATGTAGATTTTTTTTTTTCCGTAAACCATTCTCTTTACCTCAATTTTTAGAGAAATAAAGATTTGTGTTTATCTCAATGCCTTGTGTCTTTTCTCAGGGAGAAATGGAAGAAAGGAAATCAGTCTGTTAGTCCAGTGAGTCACATGTTGCTCTACTCAGCCACTCACCTGTACATCCAGAGCTTTCTCACAATACTGTCTGGGCCAGGCTAGGTATTCAGTCAGATCTTTTTCAATGCCAGTATTTTATTATGAGAACTGAGAGAAGTATGGCTTAAAATACAGACCCATTCAGTGCCACTGTGGATTATGATCAGATAGATTTGACACATAAATACAAAAAAAGCGAACCTCTACCAATCCATCTCGATAGACATGGCCCTCATTCCCTCTGGCTCCCCTCTTCTTCTGTGGTATAGCCCTCATGATCTCTTTGTTGAAGGTCATCCAGAAGAGGTAGACAGATGTTCCTCAATGTTATGACCCTTTGGCCCAAGAAACCATCTTTACTGGTCCCAGATTTGAGGCACCCAAAGGGCATCTGTTGATAAATGCTCTCTTTTCCACAATAAAACATAGCTTTTAAATTTTTATTAGTATATGTTAAATGTTCAAAATATAGGTTTAATTATGACATTTTCACACATGTGGATGTAGTGCTTTGATCATATTTTGATCATATTTATCTCCATTATCCATAATTATCTTCTTGCCCCTGGAAATAACCTTTAAAATCTTTATTATTTTTTCTCTATTTGTCTCTGTGTACTTGTGTGTATATGTGTGTGTGTGTGTGTGTGTGTGTGTGTGTGTGAGAGAGAGAGAGAGAGAGAGAGAGAGAGAGAGAGAGAGATTGAAAAGGCTTTGAGATTCTAAGCAAGTACACAAATGAAGTCAAGAAAAGACAGAAGAAATGGAGAACCTGTTGTACTGTATTTAAGATGAACTTGAATGTCTTCTATGTGCTGGAAGCAGGAACAAAGACTCAGAAACATGGAAGGCAGGAAGCAAGCACACCCGGATGCTCTCTGTGCAGCAGACCACACTATGGGTATGGGGGTAAAGATTCACACGTGTGACCCAGACCAGGTCTAAGAGGGAAGCAGTGTGAACAGTAACACAAGGGACAGGCTTGAAGTGGGGTTCACATATATGACAGGGGGGTTGGATATAGGCAGAAGAAGCAAACCTGTGGGGCAGAGGCTGCAAGAAGCTGGTTGTTCTGGCTCCTCCATCCAGGACATCATGTTTATACTGAAATCAGCATTAGATGGTGTAATAGAAATTAGGTTTGTAAATTACCACATGCTGTTTTGGTAGTTTCTTGGAAAGGTTTCTGAATTGATTAAAAACTAAGACGGGTGACTGATGGCATATACCTGTAAGTAAATCCAGTACTTGGGAGGTTGGGTAGGAAGATGGTAAGTTCAAGGCCACCTAGTGTACATAGGGAGTTTTCAGTACTGTCTGGGATATATAGAAAGAGTGTCTTGAAAATGAGTGAACAGAGAAGTACATAAACTGTAAGTGTAAAAAGTGAGGCATAGGCAGAATTCTAGTTTTTTGTGGCATGCTGTTCATGGCTGAATAAGATTCCTGAATCAGCTATAAGCATCCTGTGTCCATGAGTAGAGCTGGCCCAACAATTAAGCTGACACGCTGAGGTTAGTAGCGGACAAGATGGGAAGAACTGGGTTACTGACCAAGTAGGGAGTCACTGTATTAATTAAGCCTTGAGCTGCCCTCCTTGAGACTTCCTGTCACATGATAATAAGTAACCCTCACCATTTAGGTTTGGGTCTTGATAGAGTGACATTATGTTGCACTATAGAGCATTGCTAACAGTTAACCATTTTATAATCTACTGTCAGTCTCTGGCTTTTTATTTTTAGAGGGCTTCTCAGTATGTACCCCAGACTAGCTTGGAGATTTCTCTATGGTCCACACTTGAATTTGCCTGGTCTTTTTGAATTTGCATGGTAATCCTAGGTCTTTCTGGGATTACCAGTGTTTGTCACCACACCTGGCTTCTTTGGTACTTTCATCACTTTCAATTTTTTCATCTCCCAAATTAATTTTGACATCTACTTCACTGTATTTTTCTCTGCACTCCCTGGTCTTGTCATTGTCAGATGTATAAAAAGAATTATTTATTCTAGCCAGCTCATATAAAAGACACATAAACCCTGGTATTTTATTTATAAGCTATAAGCCTAGATTGGGCAGGTTCTGAGTTAGTCTAACTTACATCCTAACCATATGCCCCTTGTTACTTGGTCTTTGAGTCTCTTCCGGGCTGTTTCTGTTCCATCAGCCTGTCCCCAGGGTGGACTTCTCCAGGTCATGTGTTCACAGTCCATCTCCTCTGATGACAGCCTCTTGCTCTCTCCGTCTCATCCCTACCCTACCCCCATATGTTTCTTGAGGCTTCTCACTGGATTCTCAGGTCCCATCTTTCTTTATGTACTGCCCAATCACGGTCTCTAGCCTTTTATTAACCAATAGCTTTAATGTGGGGGCAAGGTTTACACAACAAAGGCTGGTACATATGAGAATTCACTCACCTGGGGGCAACCAGATCTTGGAGTTCAGAACTGATTATTCTCATCAGAGACTCTTAGTTGGTTTTGTAAACCTTCATAGGAGTTTATCCAAATTTTAACGTTCAGCCTATTTTCTCTTTGATCTCCATTAGCTAAAGCAATCGGCCAGAGAGACATTGGACACAAGGAACAGCTTATTCTCCTAGAAGAAGAGTAACTGGTCCAAGGAAGAGTGCTAAGTTTCAGTGGCTTACTCTAGTAAAAATCTAGTTCTTGCTCATGTCACAATCCAGAGAAGAGATAGAGTGGCCTGTGTCACACAGTTATTAAAAGATCAATTTGGTGGGGCTAGAGAGATGGCTCAGCAGTTAAGAGCACTTGCTCCTTCTGCAGAGGACCTGGGTTCAGTTCCCAGCACACACATGGCAGCTTCCAACAGTCTATAGCTTCAGTTCCAGGGCATCTGATGTCCTCTTCTGGCCTCTGTGGGCATCAAGTATGTGTGTGATGCACAGACATCCATACAGGAAAACACCCATACACATAAATATAATAAATTAAACCTTAAAGAAATAATGTCTGTGGCTCCATTGCTCCTCACGCCCTTGAGTTCTTCACCTGGTGTTCTGTGTGGAGCAGGAAATTAGTGAGACCACGGGGACCAGTCATTAAAGACCTGTCTGATTTATAAAATATCATGTACTTGTTTTATAAAATGTATTTTTCATGCTTTCTTCTCAGCACCTTTTCAGTTTCGATTTAAACATGTTTCATTCTGTCCATTTTCTCACAAAGAATTTTTTTTCCTATCTCAGGAAATTATTTCCGTATTTGGTGCTTTGGTAAATGTACTATTCCTACTTACACATAGTCAATTTCACAAAGACAAAGAGTCGAGGTGTTACCAGGTGATGGGAGTTTTTTGAGTCATAGATCATGCTAGGGAGGATTCTTCAGTGTTGTGATTGCCGTAGACTTACCCATGCTCCTTTGAGTAGCCCCAGGAACTCACTGGTGTACCAAGGTACACTGGAGAGGATTTATTTCTTTGCTCTGTCATTGGTGTCCTATGCTAGATAAATATTATGTCTGTCCACATCTTCCCAAGGGAAAAAAAAACATAAGAGAGAGGGTAAGATCAAGAAGAGCCTGTTTCTATCAGGGTAATGTGACTATTGATATATGCTTGCCTGGGTATTAAGAGTCTAATTGCCTGGGATCTACTTTGCCTAAGCCTCAGCCAAAGGCCTCTGGCAACCTAGCCTGTGTCGGGTTTCTAAACACATTGTTCATCTGTCTTACATTCAGACGGAATGCTCCAGTGTTCTTTGTTGTGACATGCCTTTGTGTCATGTCCACACCAGATGTTTTCAGGTCTCCTTTCATTATTATCATTTGATTGCTGTATTTGTTGTTGTTGTTCTGTTTAGTTTTGAACGAGAAATAGGATGAGCTCGTATTTCTGGGGAGAAGAGCTGCCATGCGAATGCTCTCAGTTCAGGTATCTTTCTGCAAGCATACGGCCCCAAGAGAAAGACAAACAAACAGTTTTAAGCTTGAGTTATGCTCTTCTCAAATGTCATGCAGGTCGTTTAAAAAAAATTCACAAATCAGTAGATAGTGAAAATAGAGTTGGCTATTTTTTTTTAATCATTCTAGGAATCACAGAGTTTAAAAAATGGCAACTCTAAAAAAGGTTTCAGTGTGCCATCTGTCTCCCATCACCGGAGCAAAAAACTATGAAATTGAGACCCTATTTCAAGAATAAAATAGTCCCTAAAGCTTGTGAATATCGGAGACAAGACTGTGGAGTGGTAGGGCGGGCAGACACTACCCTACTGGTGCGAGAGTCAAGCATGATGGGAGGACAGGCTGAGTTATTTCCGCAGTGTACATATCCTCCGAGTCAGCAATTCATGGTCATTCACTGCAGGATAATTTGCTGTGGCAAGAGTATTCCCCTGCCACTTCCCTGTCCCGGCAACTATACACTAGGTATTGGCAACCCTGATCGCCTGTGAGAGGGACAGTGGGGTAGTGATGGGAAGTCTTCTCATTTATGTTTTCTACTGGTAATGCATCACCCATCTCCACCGTTTCACCTGGAGTGGACATGAAACACACCAAGTTTTTCAGTGGTAGAGAATTCACTAAGAGGATTTTAAATTTAATTTTTTTATGGTGAAATTGGGGATTGAACCTAGGACCTTGCACATGTCAGGCAACTGTGGTACATTGAGTCACATTCCTAGCAAACTAATAAAACAATACATCATAAAAATAAACATAATTATACACACACACACACACACACACACACACACACACATATATAATATGGGTATTTTTCCCTACATATATGTCTATACACCATAGGTGTGCCTGGAGTCCTTGATGAGAAGAGGGCATCATATTCTCTGGACCTGGAGTTACAGATGGTTGTGAGTTTCTGTGGATGCTGGGATTGAACTTGGGTTCTCTGGAAAAGCAGTCAATGCTCTTCACCCCTGAGCCATCTCTCCACTCTCAAAGGAGCTGAGCAGGAACACTCATTGCCCTCTTTGTCTTTTTGAGACAGTGTCATTATGTAGTCCTGGCTAACCTGGAACTCACTATGTAGACCAGACTGGCCTTGAACTCAGAGATCCTTCTGCCTCTGTCTCCTGAGTTCTGGGATTAAAGGTATGCACCACCATGTTCAACCACATTTTAAGGTTTTAAAATTTACTAATATGTGTATAGTGTGTGTGTGTGCATGTATACACACACACACACACACACACACACACACACACACACAAGTTCTCTGGCACACATACACTTTTATGCCATGGTATATTGGAGGTCAGAGGACTGGAAGAGTCAGTTCTTTCTTTCCATCTTCATATGGGTGCCAGGGATCAAACTCAGGTTGTCAGGCCTGTGTGGCGAGTGCTTTACCCACTGAGATATCTCCTTGGTCCACTAATAGGTTTTTTTTTTTTTTTTTGGTTTTCCAGACAGGGTTTCTCTGTGTAGCCCTGGCTGTCCTGGAACTCACTCTGTAGACCAGGCTGGCCTTGAACTCAGAAATCTGCCTGCCTTTGCCTCCCAAGTGCTGAAATTAAAGGCATGTGCCACCACTGCCCAGCAAAATTACAAATATTTATTTATTTTTATTTATATGAGTACACTGTTGCTGTCTTCAGACACACCAGAAGAGGGTATCAGATCCCATTACAGATGGTTGTGAGCCACCATGTGGTTGCTGGGAATTGAACTCAGGACCTCTGGAAGAGCAGTCAGTGCTCTTAACCACTGAGTCTTCTCTCCAGCCTCCACTAATAGTTTTTTTAATAATAAAGAATTTGAGGAAATCCCAAGTGAGTGAATGGTCACTCCAGGAATTAAGAGGACATTAGCCAGTTGAACTTTTTTCCCCATTCATCTTTTCTTTCCAGAGAACACACAAGCAAAAGACAGGAGTCTGGAAACAGGGAGCATGGAGGCAAGAGGGTCAGGAGTTCAAGATCACTTTCAGCTACACAGCAAGTTCAACGTCAGCCTGTGCTATACGAGATCTTGTCTAAATTCAGTTATCAGAAACCCTATTAGGAAGCTCACAACCATTTGTAACTCCAGTTCCAAGAGATTGAATACCCTCTTCTGGTCTCCACAGGCATGCGTGTGGTACACACACACACACACACACACACACACACACACACACAGAGACAAACACACAGGCATACAAACGCAGGTTCTCATATGAAATTTAAAAAAAAGTTTATTTATATAAATAAAGCCATGGGGCTGAAGAGATGGCTTGGAGGCTAAGAGCACTGGCTGCTCCTCTAGAGGAACTAGGTTCAATTCCCAGCACCCACATGGGAGCTCACAACTGTCTGTAACTCTAGTTCCAGAAGACCTGAAACCCTCACAGAGACATACATGCAGGCAAAACACCAATGTGCATAATAATAAATAATAAAACCTTAAGAAAAGCTGATGAAGCCAAGAACTAGGTGGGATAGACAGTTTATTGTTGCTTGGTTGTAGTAGGACACACAATTCCTCAACATGTACAACTGTTTTGATGTTATTGTTGCTTCTCAGGAGACCACAGTATGATGTCTTAGGTCTGTATTCTTTTCTCTGTTAACCTGGTCAATGGTCCACCTATTTTACAATTCAAGTTAGAAGAAAGTCAGGGAAATCTGGTTGTGACATCCTAAATCGAGGGCTGCAAGACTTACAACCCAGTTGTGTAAAGTGCTTATGTTCAGTGCAAACACAGACAGCCTTGAGTGTAAGCAGACTCCAGGCACTGGGGGATCCTGGGAGCTGTGGTGTGTTCTATGCGTCAGGAAGGAAAGGCCACTGTCACACCTCACCCTTAAGGGAGCTAGGATTCAGCTTCAGCCTATCTGACAGATGTCTATTTAAGAACTCTTAATTAAGAAAAACTTGGTTCAGAAGAAATGAACAGGGTTTCTAAGCACCAGAGACACTGACTTCAGTTTCCAGTTCCTGTTGCCCTGGCGACAAGGGGCGACCAATAGGCTGAGCTCTGGCTGGTAGGAGACTTGGGGCTACAGGCCTTTCTTTAGGGTTCTCATTTGCAAATCAGTCACCAAATTACAGACCTTTTCTTTAGAGCATCAACTCACCTCAGCTGAAGAGCACATTAAACCCTTCATCTAGTCCCCACCATGATGAGAACTACTTGTTACCCCCTCGTTCTGATTTGTCTGTAGACCCAACTCTGAAGTAAGCCCCATTCCCTCAGTGTACTGCTGCCTGACTGAGCTAGGTCTTTGCATATCCGACCCCTGGCCCTGAGGAGACTGAATGGGAGCATGGGGATGGAGAAATGGTTTCTTAACTAATTCAAGAGGTACAAACGAGAACGGAATGCAAACAGGTAGAGTTTAGCATTCATTCAGCCCCAGGATCCTGGCTACCATTTCTTTCCCCAGCCTCTGAAAGAAAAAGCCATGTGTCCTTACCCATCAACCCTGCAACAGGGATACTGACAAGAGCCAGCTTTGTGCTCAGAGGTCTGCCTCTTCCTCCCCTCTGGCCTCAGCCTTCCAGATCCAACCATTTATACCACTGTCAGAACTTTCAGATGCTTGCACCTGCAAACCTTGTGCTTGTGAGCGGTGTGGTGGTGGGGAAAGCTGTCATCGTCCACAGCCACACTCCTAACCTTCTCTCTGAATTTTGGGGAGAAGCAACCTTTTTGGCATTGCTCTGTAATTCTGTTGACCCCTCCTGTTAGGAGGAGCTGTTAAAGCATGTCTGTCTGCATAGAGGGGGAACGGTGGAGAACAGGCCGACCTGGGACAAGAACCAAACACACCGAAGGTCTTCAAACCAGCAGAAAGTGGGAAGTAAAGCGCCTCTCTTCAAGAGGAGTCTCATTTGTTCAGAAAATGCTTGGGCGTAAACATGAGTGCACAGGAGCATGCACACAGGTGTGCACACATGCACACACAGTCACTCTGAGGTAGAAAGTGGCTATCTCCAGACAAACACAGAGTCTTCAATTTACATGGCACTTGTGTGAAAGGACCTACTCTTGCCCACTCAGGCAAGCACAGTCTAACCTGCTCACTCCAACCTGGGGCAGGAGCAGAAGTCCCACTCCACAGGAAGACGGAGATGGAGGGTGTTATGTGGCATTGTTCCTGTTGCCATGTTCCCAGGCTATAATTTCCAGGTTCTGCAGTCCAGGGTCACTTCCTGGAGCCTGAGCCATGGGCACCACGGGAATGGCTTGTCAGAAGCCACTGAGCACAGATGTCTTGCACTACAGAATCCCCACTGCTTTTGGCAGCCTGCTGCACCTGCTGGACGAGGGCAGCGGCCTGTGAGTGTTCTTGCTTCACGGCAATCAGGTAGGCAGAACGCAGCTTGCAACATGTCAGATAGGCCCGAACCTAGGGATTAGGGATGAGACATTTGAAAAGAAATGACCGCCAAGGAAAATCAGTGAGCACAGACAGCATCAGAAAGCACAGGCAGATGAAAGGTACTTCTTGCCCACCAGATTGAGAGTGAGGTTCTTGCCTTTTATTGTTTCACAGCAATTTGAAGTGTTCTAGGCACCAGGCTATTGCATGGCCCTAGGTGCTAATGTAAAGGGCTATCACAGGTAAGATAAGATTTAGAAACTAAGGTAGGCAGAATCTGGCCTCTGTCTATTCTTTCAACTTCTTTTTAGAATCAGAACTAGTATTGCCAGTATCCACAGGCTGTGATTTTATAGTTGTTTGGTGATTAGGTGATATTCTTGACTAGACTACAGGTCTGAGAGCAGGAATAGTGTTTGCCTTTTATGGCCCTTGTATTCTTGGTGCCTAGTTGGTAGTCAGTGTTCAGTTAATGAGGCTTCCAAGGGTGACTGAATGGATGCGTAAATGATCATACCTTCCTTCCTTTTGCAAAGTGTTTACAGAATCCCTTTCTTTATTTGTCTGTTTTGAACATGCTGAATTAAAACCAAAACCACAACCACAACCAAAACCAAAAGCCCTTGAGTGGGCAGCACTGGGGGTTAACCCTGGGCCCCCTGCATGCTGAGTAAGCACTCTACCATTGAGCGGCATATCACCAAATCTGAATTTAAAGCCCACTGTCAGATAACACGGGATAAAAATGGACACCCACAGTTAGTTAGGATCTCACCCCAGTGAGACTGACTTGGATGGGCTGCTCTTGTTTGGATCTAAGGCAGCTCAGCGTGGGGGACAATGTCTCAAGAACCCTTCTCCTCTTGGCTCAGGTTTCACTGGCACCTTCTGGTTAGCCATCACTCTGGGCTGAGTGGTAGCAAGCCCTGCACGAGCTGTGGCCGAGCTCCCACTAGCAGCTTACTTTTTGCTGTAACAGACTTTTTTTTCCTTCATGTAAAATACGCCATCTTTTTTGGGGGTGGGTGAGTCTTACTCACCAAGGTCTCTTTGGCTTGATCACAGTTTTCCTACTACATCTGGTGTGCTGTGAACTCACTGAAGCAACTGGATATATGTATACGTGTATGTATATGTGTAGTGTTTGTGTATGTCCCAAAGTCCTGAAAGCACCTTAGACAAGCTGCTGAGAAAAACAACTAAAAAGTAGTAACAACTGTCTAGCTTGACTCTTGGGTTCTCACTCAGACTCTTCAAAAAAAGTGTCATTTTAGAAAGTGAGAATTCCATCCTTCCTGAGGACCTAATTAGGATGTTGCAAAAGCATTGAGGAAATGTTTACAACATGTTCTCCTGAAGACCAAGCCTGAAAAAGATGGCCAGCAGGTTCCGCTGGGGACTGAGTGGGAGCAGTCCTGCATTGTGCAAGATGCCATTGCCTGACATGAGGCATTTATTTCATCACGAGGGACTTAGCTGCTAGGAAATTTGTCTCCTGATGGCCAGCAGCTGGTCTGGCTTTGCTTCTGTGGGACTCTCCTGGCCTGGAGGCCTTCCTGAAGATGGCAGGGTGATTGATCCCATGACTGGCCACAACCAGTGACATTTTTATCCTGGCTGGCACTCATCACAGAGGCAAGGCAAGACAAAAAGGTTCGGTCATGTCCCAAACAGGGGAGAGTTTGTGGGTCCAGAGGAGCACTGTCCTCCAAAGGGCTGAGCGGATGCCTCCGTTTCAATGTGAGATACCCCTTATATGTTGGAACAATTGGTCTGCAGCTGGTGGCAGTGTTCTGGAAGGTGGCACATTTGCTGGAGGAAGTGGTCACGTGGGGTGGTTCTCTTGGTGCTTTTTAACTCTGGATGCACTGTCAGCAGCCAGTCACCTCCTCCTGCCACTGCACCTGCCTCTCCTTTCCCAGTAGGATGGAATGCACCTCTCAACTGTATGTCAGAATACATCTTTCCTTTCTTAAATTGCTTCTTGTCAAGTATTTTGTCATAGCCATGAGGACAGTAGCTGATATAGTGGGACTTTCCTTTCTGAACTCTTTTGTCTTCCAGAATAAGGAAACACCTGGCCACCCTAGGGACCTCATAACTGGAGATGGAAATCAAGCAGGTGTCCCTACCTTGCCTTGCTGGTGAGAGACTCAGAATAACATGGAGAATTAAACAGTCTTTAGGGATAAAGAACTGGGAAGGCAAAGGTTTGGGAGGGCAATGTTCATCTGCCCCTGTCTAGTCCCTCTTGGGCTTTAAAGCCATGGTCTAGGCCCTGGATAACAAAGAAAACCGAACTACAGAACTGCATGGAGCTACTGTGGGGGTTGGGGGGGGGAAGGGAAGCTCATGCTCTCACCTTGTTGTCGTCGCTGTGGATGGCCTGGATCAGTGCCTCCAACTCCTGCGTACAACAGAGACATAGCAGCCGTGAGAGGGAGAAGAACCTCAATCCACTCTGAGCCCAGCTATTGTGACTCTGAGGTAGGGACACCTGCTTGATTCTTCTAAGTCAATTCGCATTACAAGAGTAACAAATTAAAGCTAATGATACCACTATGCTTGGAAAGGGGACTAGAAGGGAGAGCTCCAAAGTGGCCCGTGCTGAGTATTCACACATGGACGAGGCTCTGTTCATCCCACAAGCGTGCTTTGCAGTCAGTGTGCTACAAGGGCCCACTCTGATCTCTGTCTCATCAGAACACAGACATTTCCAGAGACACACAGTATTAGTCGAGAGAATGCCGAGGGACATCTTCTGGATACAGAAGTCACAGTCATGAACTACACAGGGAGAGGGCTGGGAAGAGGGCGGGCGGCCATGGTTGCAGAGTCAGAAAGAGAAATGGATCTTGTAGTGAGGAGGAGGAGGATGCAGACGATACAGAAGAGACAGAGGACCCAAGAGACCCAGGAGGGAGCGCACCTGGGGTGGGATTCTCTTGAAGGCTTCCAGGCAGTTGAGGAGGATGGTGTCACCGTCGCTTTTGGCTGCCATGCCTGACTCACTGACACACTTGAGCAGCTGTCGAATCTCACCATATTTTTCCCTCTCAACCAGCTGCCTGGCAGCTCTGCAGTAGGTTGCAGCAGCATCCAGCTGGAAGTCCTAGGACAGAATGTAGGATGATGGACTTGGGTCATCAGGGGACACCAGGACCGTGGGAAGCAATGGACTTGGGTCAGCAGGGGACGCCCACCGTGGGAATTGATGGACTTAGGAGACTAGGGGATGCTCACTGTGGGAAGCAATTGCAGTCGCAACAGGACCACAAGGATACAGGAGAGCAAGAGAGGTTCTCTTTGGAGTCAGGCAAACATTTAAGAAGTGATTACAAAAACTGCCTCTTCAGTGTACGGAATGTGTCCTACGAACTTCCAGTTCTTTTCTTTTTCTTTTCTTCAGGACAGGGTCAGGGCTGGTCTTGAATGCCTGATTTGAGTGCCTCTACTTCCCAAACACTGAGATTCCAGGGTGTGCCACCATGCCCGGCTCCACGGACTTGTAAAAGACATCCTTCTTGATTCCTATGACAAAATCTCTCTCCCCTGATTCACCTTTCTCTGGAAAATAGTGTTTGTCTGTTTTGAGCTGCCTAAGTGTTGAAACAGATTATCAAAAGACTCACTTGCTCAAACTTGCCTGGAAAATACACTAAACCTAGCCTAGGTTAGCCCTTATGCCACAGGCCTCTGGCTCTTCCTTCCAGACATGTTCTCCTGAGAAGATGAGTGAACTTCTGCAGTAAACCAGTTCTGTGAAGCTGTCTCCTGTGTGCTCCTTGATACCTTTTGAGAGGCTAAGGCTGGCTTGTGGCTAAAGTGACAGAGAGCCTGGCATTTGACCCAGTTCTGTATCACATCTGACTTCACCCCTAATGTACATGTAAACCTGCTCTTCTTGGGATAAGAATTTCTTTTTAAAAGAACAGCACTTCACAGAAATGTCTGGTGCGGGCTCTCTTGGCATACTGTTGAATAATATATCATACCTGCAGAACACGGAATGCAATTCCAAAACCATCTTCCACATTTTTTCCTCCCAGCATAACCTGGATGGAGAGGGACATATGCTTAAAGGATTCATAATTATTCAAATAGCTTCTCAATGAAAAACAAAACAGGGTCGTTGTCATCGTTACCACCACCACCACCACCACCACCACCACCACCACCACCACCACCACCATCATCATGTTTTTGTGGAGACAGGAGTTTCCTCCACAGTCCTAGCTGGGTTAGAACTCATTATGTAGATCAGGCTGGCCTTGAACTTGCAGTGATTCTCCTACCTCTGCCTTCCTGGTGTTGGGATTACAGATATGAACCAACATGCCCAATACATTTATTTAATTATTAAATATATGTTGAGACCTTACTAAGCATCCAAGTACCAGAGGTACAAGTGATGAAACTTGACTTTACCTCCAGCGCAAGGCTCACATTCCAGTGTGGAGGATGCCATCAAGGAAACAACGGACATAATCAGATAATTACAACTGGACTAAGCATTCTGAAAGATGTGAGCGGGCTGTCAGAGGAGAGACGCTCTGCGTACCTTGCAGGCAACTTCCATTTTCATGTGGTTGTTTCCAAAGAGTGTTGGCAGGGGCAGGGTGGGGATCTGAGAGGTCCCAGCACTTTCACAGCGATGTAGGAATCTGGTCACTTCCATCTGTAGCTGCAGCGTATTCATGTGCCTATGGGGACAGGGCAGACAGGACAGACATGGTCCAACCTCGTAAGGCTCTCAGGAGAGGGGTGTCTGCGGCTGGGTGATTGATTCATGACAGCAATGGAAAGACCAAAGAAGTGACATGAAGTCAAGGGGCTGGAAATACCTTCCAAACAGCTACAGTACAGACATATGGTACTTAGGGTGCACTGCGGAGCTGGATAAAGTCCCAGAATTGGGTCAACAAATATTTACTGAGTACCTATGTGGCAGGTACCAGAGTGAGGATGGAGCCCTGAGCCCTGACCTCACAGCTCATACTAGAGAAGAAACAGACAGGAAGCAGACAGAAGAGCCTTAGTGACTGAGTCTAAAAAAACAGAGTGATGGAAAATTGCTTATTCAAGTTGGTTTTTTTTGAGACTACATCTAGCTACACTGCTTAGGCTCATCTCAAATTCACCATCCTTCTGTTTTAGCATGCTACCATGCCTGGCTAAGCATTTACTTCAGATAATATGTTCTAAATGGAGAGGGTGACAAGCATAAAAGAAGAAAGCACTTGTGTTGAGGATCCTGGAGGCCGGGTTGGCCAGCGGCTGACGTGTTCCAAGGGAGAAAAGAAGAGCAGGGAGACATTACATGGGACCTTTCTTTGCTCATTGTACAGAATATGGGGCTCAGTCTGGCTGTAACATGTGATCCTAATTCCTAGCTACAGTACCTCAGTAGCTTTCCAGGATGAAGCAGACACTGCCATCCAGGGCTGATACCTCTTCAGCCCCAGCTTCCCTCCAGCACTGACCATCTGAGGGCATTGCAATACCTGGACACATCAGCTGCAGTCATCTTCTTCCGGAAGAAGGTGGTTTTCTTCCTTCCAGAGCTGCGGGACGTTTCTTGGAGGTAGATCTTCAAGTGGTCCTTGGCCTTAAGCAACCATGACAGCTTCTCTCCCAGCTCTGTGTATGACTTTGCTTTGTGACTGAAGAACCGAATACAGGTCATGGCTGCCCGGACTTGGTCCTAGGAGCAGAAAAATCAATGTTTGGGTTAGGAGTGATCAGAGATGTTGAAAGGTGTTGTCATGAGAATTCATAGCAGACCTTCATGTTCTGGTCCTATGATCTCCATTTCAGATCTTCTCTTCTTCTCTGATAAGCTCCAGTGCCTTCCCTATCACCAGCTGAGCTGACATTTTACGTTGGTCCCAGAGCCCCTTCTGGCTAAGCTCTTGGGTTGGATGCTATTTCAACCTGTAGAGATCTAAAGGAAGATCCATTCTCCGTTGAGAATGGATTCAGTCTTAATTTGGCATCAGATGATGGAATTTCTTTGAGATTATAGTACTGAGAAATGTCAGACAGTTAGGGGAAACTTGGCCTTTCTACTTGCATATACTTTCTATTAAAGACTCCAACTTTCTGGAACATCATTTCTTATGGATTCTATATCTTTTTTTTTAAACTTTTATAACAGTACTTGAATTACTTTTTAATTAGTTTTATTTTATGTGTGTATTTTGCTTGCATGTATGTCTGGGTACCACATGTGTGCCTGGTGTCCATGGAGGTCAGAAGAGAGCATTGGATCTCCTAGGACTGGAGTTATAGATGGTTATGAGTCACCATGTAGGTGCTGTGAATTGAACCTGGATCCTCTGAAAGAGCAAGCAGTTCTCTTAACTGCGGAACCATCTGTCCAGCCCCACATTTTTTGAATTCTGAAGAATGTTATTATGGACAAGATTAAAGTTTGGCTCTAAATATAGGATGAAAGTCTAAATATTTAACAATGTTAGAGAGCCTGGTGGATTTGCTTTAGGGTCAAATACCAAGGTCAGAGATCAAATGACTGCCCTGTTCCCTCATCTTGCGCAGCCTCTCCTGCACAGCAGAGCACCAGTGACAGGAGAGGAAGGGAGGTTGGGGTGTTACCACCTTCATAAACTGCTGCAGCTCGTACAAGATGTGGTAGTAGTTCTTCTTCTGCAGATGTTGGCAGGCAGCCATCAGGTACGTTCCCCAGCTCTCCAAGGTTGGATCGATGGATTCCAGTAAGTTTTCCAAAGTGTGTAGCTTCCCACTTTTATAGCTTGGCTGGAAAATGCCTTCTATGAAGACTTCTGGAGGACTTTCCTGGAGCAGGGTAAGGTAAGACGTCAGAAGTGTGAGAGCTGCTTCTGGCAGACCCTAGGATTTGCTTTGAGCTTCCCTCTCTTCCTTGAGCACTGCCATCCTTTGTGTCCCAGGTTCCTCTGAGAGAACACTTTACAGATGCTCCACTCTGCCCCTAACTTGATGGCTCTGTATGCTCACGGGCCCAACCAAGCACCCCTCACATGCTAGAAGACTGGTTTGTCATTCCAACGGGACCAGCAGCTGTTGACAGATGATGACTTCCTTCCTGAAAACCTTTAAGTTTAAAATTTTCACTTTTGAGAAAAAAAATTTTTATTTTGCTTCCAGGATACTAGGAACATCCTCTCAAGGTTTTTTTTCAACATCTCTGGCCACTGAGTTCCTTAGCTGGTTCCTCTTATCCCTGTCAAACTTTTCTTCTATCTCTACTTCCCTAGCAATTTTATCCAGTCCCATGGCTTTCCATGCTGATGTATTCACATCTTTATCTCCAGTCTGCTTACCCTCCTGGACCTCCAAATCCACATCTCCCATGGAACCCAGCTACCTTTTCACATGTCTTCCTGCAAGCTCTTTCCACACTCTCCTCTTTCCCAGACACAATTCCATTCTTCCAGTAGCTCAGGTCAAAAGCCCTCAGGACCATTTTCCTCCTCAAACTTGGATATTGAGTTTTTTAGCGAGGTCTACCATCGGAACACACTCAGGAGCTGCCCACGCACACTCACACGCTGACCTCACCACCATCAGCTCACCTGGATTACTGAAGTAGCCGTCTCCATGACCTACTGCCCACTCCTGTATCTTCCATATAAAGCCAACAAATCAATTTTGTTGACACATGAGTCAGATGAAGTTACTCTTCTGCCTACTATCTTGCAGTAGTTTGTTACTCATTCACTATAAAGCCCAGGTTCTCCCAATGTCTTCATATACTGCATGATTTAGCTATTGTCTTCCCAATTGTATCTGCTACTAGCCTGTCCCGTCTTTCCTGGCTTTAGCCACCCTAACCTTTATACTTGTTACTTCCTCTGCCTGGACCGCAATCCCTCCAGCTATCCTGTCTTTCAGTCCTTCACTCAGAGGCCACCTTCTCTGGGCGCCTCATCTAATATTGTATAAACCTGACCTTCTGTTCCCTCCTTCTCTTCCCTTCCTTCAACCTCTCCTGCCTCTCTTTCTCCTTCCATGCTCTTCTCCTCTTCTTCTCTACAGAGCCCCGGCTGTCCTGGAACTTGAAATATAGACCAGGCTAGCCTTGAACTCACAGAAACATGACTGATTCTGCCTCTCTAGTGTGTGCTTCTGGTCTAGGGATGCTTAACTCTTGTTTAGCCTGAAAGGATGAATGGAATTTCTCCAAGAAAACAAGGAGGGCCAGGGCATTCTAGATAGATGGAACAGTGCATGAATAAAGATAATAATGTAACATTTTGGTGAGTCTGTATTGAGGAGTATCAATAGCATTTGTGGTGAAAAAAAAAGATCAGAAATATGGAGACAGACCTTAAGGTCCAGCTGCATGCTAAGGAGTTGCCCTTCATCCTGATGATTCATGAAGGCCCTCTGGGGAGAGGAGCGGCATGCGGGTCCCATGATTAGGATGCTCACATTGAGACCAGGGACACACAGAACTAGAAACCCTGCACATGCTAGGAGCTCAAGTGTCATTTTTCATTTTTCAGTGCATTTTTCCTGTATCCCTACTTGCTTGAGGATAAAGGCAAGGCTCTTAAAAAAGGCAAGGGTAGCTGATGACGGGAGACAACAGAAGGCTTCCTGCCTGGCTCTGTCAACCTCAGAGTAAGGCAGTGCTGTCGTCAGCTTCTACCTGGATAAGAAGATAAGCCGCTTACCTCTGGCTGCACTTATCCAAGGCAACAGGCCCTGATGACTTACACTGTCAGTCTGTGCCTGGCAGAAATGTCTTTACTTCTCAACTCATGTGGAGATGAAGGAAAGGGGGAAATTAAATTCCAAATAACACGACTATTCTATATGACTCTTAAGACATGCTCAGCAACTAAGACTAACAGCTAAGCAATGGTCTCCCTTTCACTGTCCTAGAAGGGTCTAACTACCATGATGCAGGATTTCTCTTGGAGTCATCTACAAGATATACTTACTTACAAACTATTGTTGGCTGCTGATCTGATTGCGTGTGGCTGAATAATAATGTTCAGTTTTCTGTGAAATTTGGTAAATAGCAGTTGCTTTGTCAGGAAGTGACCATGGAATGTGGAGAGATAAAAAGAAGTGCAGGCCTGGGAGAGAGCTAAGAGGGTAAAAGCTCTCACTATGCAAGCTGATGACTTGAGTCTGGTCCTGGAGCCTGTGTGACATGCAGGAGCATGCATCTGTAAGCTCAGGAAGCCTACAGTGAGACGGGAGGAAGGAGCAGGAGAGAGCCTAGCGTAGAGGATGCAGAAGGGCCTTAGAGACAGGAGATCTGACCTCAAAGGCGGAAGGTGAGAAGTAACTACTGGAATTTATTTACCACATGCACCAGGGCCCTGTGTACAGACTTTCGCCCTCTCCCTCCCTCCTGCTCCTTTCTCTCTTGCTCTCTCTCAATAAGTAAACAGAAGAGTGATGGCCAAGGAAGTAATGAGCTCTTAGTGCTCTTGCCTCCAGTGGGAGGTGCCAGGGGAGAGAGAGAACAAGGAGAGGGTGTGCTGCTCCCTTGTGTACACACATGTGCTTCCTCGTGTACACACATGTGCTTCCTCGTGTACACACACATGTGCTTCCTTGTGTACACACACATGTGGGGTGCTCATCTCTGTGACAATGTGCCTGATGACACACAAGGCTCCCACTGAGCACCTCCGTCCAGAGGCTGGGCTGATTCTCTGACTGTGCTCTCCGCTTTGGGAGAAGAGATGAATTTGCTATTGCTGGTGAGGAGGGATATTTAGTTCTTAAGTTAAGACTTGCAGTCCTCATTGGATGACTGTGTAGACAAAGCCTTTCATTTTGACCTGACTCTGCTGGAAATGATCTCACAGTAGGACACTGAGTTACATCTAGGGAGGTGATGGGGCAGCCACCGCCCTTGAACCATGTCTGAATGTCTTACCTTGTTGAGCAGGTGCAGCAGGGCTTCCCGAAGGCAGTTATGCCTCATGTAGAAGCTGATGATGGCCAGGTTGGTGCTGTAGTTGTGCAGGTAGAAGAGACATTCTTGGTAGTAGGTGTTGTTCATGATCTTGCCATCAGGAATGGCCTCCAGGAAGAGACTCTGGGTTCGAAGGGTGGCTTCCAGTTCCCTCAAGGTGGCAAAGTAATCATCATCTTGCTGGCAGGAAAGAGAGAAAGTGAGAAAACCCCAGGCGTGGCGGATTGTATTGTAATTGTAATGCAATACACAGAAGCCAGGACTCTGGAGGCAAAGGCAGGCAGATCTCTGAGTTCAAGGTCAGCCTGGTCTACACAGCAAGTTCCAAGACAGCCTGGGCTACACAGAGTTTTCACAGCCACTAGAAGCATTGGTCCACACGCCTTGATGTGAAACATAGCTGCCTGAGGGAACACTTAACGACGTGGAAAAGGACTACGGTTTTAGAGTAGAAAAGCAGGTAGGATGCAGAAGCCTCTCCTGGAGGTACTACCCAAGCTCCAGTTAACACCATAAGCATGGCGTTTGTTTCTTGAGATGGTCTTCCTGGGCTACGCATTTGACTTTGGACTGCAGTGTTTAAGAAGTTGTTCTCTCTCTTCCAAGCCCTCTCAGCTTCCAAGTAACTGGGACTGTAGGCCTGGGTTTGATGGTGTACACAAGCTTGAGGCATGAGGGTCGTGAGTTCAAGGCTGTTCTGGATTAAATGAAATGAAACCAGGGGCTGGGAGATGGCTCCATTCGTTGTCCAAGTGCTTGCTGTACAAGTCTGTGGAGCCCAGCACCCATGTAAAAGTTGGTGTTCTGGCAAGTATCTGTAACCCAGGTTTGGGTAGGCAGAGTCTAGTGGGGTGGGGGCTAACTGGAGAATCTACTGGGAACGGTGAGTTCCAGGTTCAGTAATACATCCTGTTCTGAAAGAAAGACTAGGGTGTGATAGGGAGGTTCAGCCAGTGAGGGCAACGGAAACCAGCCTGGCCTCTGCACTTCATCCTGGAGGGAGGACAGAACTGACCCCTGCAAATTGTCCTCTGATCTCCAAGAGTGAGTGTGTGTGTGTGTGTGTGTCATATACAGACATACACTCAAAACAAATGTAAAAACAAAGTGAAAAGAGTGAGAGAAGACAGTCAACAATGACCTCTGACCTTCACACATGCATGGTGAGTACACACGGCCACATACAAATATACTAGAATATACTATGTACAAAATGAAAACACAAAGAAACTTCAAATGGCATATTAGAACTCAGTAATCTGGTTATGTGACTATATATATATATGTGTGTGTGTGTGTGTGTGTGTGTGTTTATCTCTTTCTTTTACAGTTTCTTTTTAAAAACCTGACTTTGTAACTGGGTGGTGGCGCACGCCTTTAATCCCAGCACTTGGGAGGCAGAGGCAGGTGTATTTCTGAGGTCAATGCTAGCCTGGTCTACAATGTGAGTTACAGGATAGCCAAGGCTACACAGAGAAACCCTGTCTTGAAAAAAAAAAATCCAAAAAACTAACCAAACACACCCCTAAAACAAAACAACAGCCCTCTCCCCGACTATGTGTTACTTCTCTAACTACACAGTCACTTATCTAACCACATGTAATAGAAACAGACAGACAGACAGACATCAGGTGAGGAGCCTCTGAGCCCAAATGCACTATTAATTGGATTAAGCTAATCCTCTCACTGGATCCTTACTGTCCCTAGCCTCTTATGAATGGGGCCCACTGCCTGCTTTGCTCGTACCAAGGAAATGAGGGGTCTCACTGTGGACTCCAGGTACTCGACCACATCCTGGACTAGCCTCGAGCCGTGACTCAATTGGTTCAGGTCCAGAGGAGGCTTCAGGCAGCGACTGAACTTCTCTCTTGCAGCAGTGAGGTTCCCAGCTTTGAGGCAGGCCATGCCCCAGGCATGCCATGCTCCTGTGGAATCAAGCCCAGTCTTTGTAGAGACCTGGAGGTAAAAATGAGAGGTGTCTACTCCAGGTGTGAGAGTCGTCCCAAGCCCTGTTCTGTTCCTTTGCCCTGCCCACCTGCCCACCATTCAAGTGCTGTAACTCTCAACCTGGCAAGCTGGATGCACCCTGTATGTGTTCATGATGAGGACAACGGAGAGATGGTAAGATCAAAGCCACTCACGACAGCAGGGTATAAGGAAGCTTCATCTTTGTCTCACCTCAACGCCCAGCTGGTAGTACTCGGCTTCTAGGAGCTGGTTCCTCAGCCTGGTTACTGCAGCTGGCTGCAGGATCTGATCCAGAGATGGCATATGGCGGTAGGCAGCAGAGACTAAAATATGCAGGACGTCTACCTTGCTGATGTAGCTGCAGGGAGAAAGAGCAGACGAGGCCGCACTGAGTTCTGGAGTGATTGCTGCTGGAAGGTTTTTTATTTCATTTTATTTCAATGCTGTGTGATCAAGGGAACTAAGAGATATATAGCATAGGTACTCTGAGTGAAGGTTCTAGAGTCAGACTCTTTTAATCCCACCTCTAACTTAATAGCTCTGAGACCTGCCTCAGCTCACTCATCTGTTAAATGGGTGCAAAGCAGAAGGGTTGGAGGGTAAAATGAAATGTGTCAGATGTGAGAGCTTTGCATAGTGTCTGGAACTTTTGTAGTGGTCAGACCATGTTGGTTTGTTTGCGTCGCAGCACGGATGTCTGGGATTTCTGAGACAAGGCCACTACATTAAATGCTGGAGCTCACAAGCTACCCATGTGCTTTTGGTTCGTTGGGACACTGGTTGCAAGTGAGTACAGAGCAGGAATCAGTGACTTGGGGCTGGAGAATCAGTTAAGAGCTCTAGCTGCTTTTCCAGGGGACCTGGGTTTGGTTCTCAGCACGCACGTGATGGTTTACAACCACCTGTAACGTCAATTCCAGGGGACCTGATTCCATCTTCTGGCTTCTGGGGGCACTAGGCACACATGTGGTACACATACTCAGGCAAAACACTCATACACACACACACACACACACACACACACACACACATATATAATAAAATAAACATTATACTAATATATATTATATATTATAATATAAAATAATTCTTAAAAAACAAAACAAAACCCAATGACCCATATTCCTGGTCAGTGCAGTGGTTTCACCATTACTATGGTGGTACCTACAGGGCACGTACCTTTGCTTTTCTGGTCTGGTCTCCTAGACTTCACAGTTTTTCTCTGTGCTAAGAATGGCCTTCTTTATACCCCACCAACAATCTTATTCCTGACACTTGAGGACTGGGAGAACCTTATCAAGACAGAGTCCAGAGGGCCAAACTATTCTGCCTGATGTGGCAAGCTCACACCCATGTCTGTCTCATAACTACAGCAAAACAAAACAAAAAACAACAACAAAAAAACCCCAAACAAACAAAACAAAAACAAAGCAAAACAACAACAACAACAAAAACCAAACTTGTGGCTCCTGACTTGTCTGCTTAGCAATTTTTTTGACTCCATATCTTTAATGATTTTTAACCTGGTGAGGACAAGGTAGGAGGATCGCAAGTAAAATCAGATTTGAAGCCATAATATAACTCTCCATTTGGAAAATGAAAACATTTGAACTACATGTGCTATTTGTTTGTTTTGCAATATATTCATTTTATCTGTTTATCCATCAGAAGGGGACATAGTTAAAAACAGAATATTCTGGTTTGTATAGCAATATGTAGCAGAGATAAGTCCTCTCCCATGGATAGAATGACATAAAGTCACCATCCAGTTGTATATGAAGCAGGTATCCGTGTGTGTGTGTGTGTGTGTGTGAGAGTGTGAGAGAAAGAGAGAGAGAGAGAGAGAGAGAGAGAGAGAGAGAGAGAGAGAGAGAGATTTGAAAGTGCTGTCGCCCTCAGGAGGTCCATGGGGTTAGGCAGGCTTGTCTGAGGCTAGCTTGTTAAGTGCAGGTATGTGCTCTGAGCGAGTGTCTGAGGGAGGCATTTATGCTCCAAAGCACAGTCTATCCCCGGCTCCCAAAGCTGTCTGGGACTGGTGCTGGAGCACACTTCTTGAGTCATGCATCTGGGTGGGTGAGTAAGGAATTCTGAGTTTTCATTGTCAGGTTAATGGATGGAGTCAAAGCAGGTTGTGCAGGAATCTGAGAAGAGCGGCTAACAACCTCACTGCTTCTCATTTCCATAAGATGACTCACAATCCACCGTGAGACAGGAGCCCACTGGTTCCCACTTTAAAAAGATATCTATTCATTTATTGTGTGCACATCAGTGCAGGAGCACTATGGCATGTGTGTAGAGGACAGGGGACTTGTGGGAGTTGGTTCTCTCCTTCTACCATGTGGGTCCCAGAGACTAACTGTATGCAGTGAGGCTAGGTGACCCCAAACTGTTTTTATAGATCCATTTTCCAGATGTCTCAGAGGTCACTGTCAAGACAGGGGAGAAGTTCTGTGAAAAGTAATCACTGGTCACATTTCTTTTAAAAACTAGAGAGTTCCAGACATTAAAGGTACTTCCCTAAATTGTTTTAATGACAAAGAATCTAGTTAAGGTCTTTCCTTGTTTTGTGACAGGGTACAATTAGGGAAATTCTACGTGGTAGTTTTATGTCAACTTGATAAAAGCTGAATTGATTTGAGAAGAAGGACTCTCAATTGAGAAAACGCCTCCACAGGATGGGCCCAGGCGAGTCTGTGGGCTGTTTTCCTGATTAATGATTGATGTGATGGGCCTAGCTCACTGGGGAGGTGTTACCCTTGGACAGCAAGCCATGAGGAGCGCTCCTCTATGGCCTGTGCTTCAGTTCCTGTCTCCAGGTTCCTGTTCTGACTTCTTTCTATGATAGACTGCGATGTGGAACTTTGTGCTGAATAAGCCCCTTCCTCTCAGAGTTGCTTTTAGTCCTGTTGTTTTATTATGGTAATAGAAAGCACATGAATATACTGTTTTTAAGGACTGTGGAAAAGAAACGGACACAGGCTGACAAAGGACAAGGACCACCAACTGGATCACTTGTGATCAGCACTTATATCTCATAAACATCAAAATGGGATACAGGCCAGCATGTTTCATCCGAGAGAATGGAAAGATGGAAGGAAGGTCACAGTAGAGTCAGATAAGGAAGCTAGATAAAAACCTGCCACTGTATAAAAGAACGGAGGCTCGTTCTTACGTACCTGTCACAAAGAGCCAAGTCCTGGCTCTGGCCAGCCTTGACGAACATCATTTTGGCACTGAAGAGAAGCTGCCTCATGATGTCTATGAGCAGCCCGGCATCCACCTCTGGGTTGGTGAGGCCCCTGGACAGCCTGCAGCAGTGCTCAATCAGCTGGTGACCACAGACGATGCTTTCTCGGTGCAGGTTCAGGATGGCAATGCACAGGGAGGCGCTGGGGGCCTGATCAGGGGAGGGAAGGGAGAAAAAGACAGTGAATTCAGAGACCAGAGCATTGTTTAAATGAAGCTATAGGCCTGGACACCACTGCAAGCGGAAGCTGGACATTCCACAGCAAACCAACAGAGCAGCCACACTTCAGATGCTCACGGTCCCACTGCTGAAGCTCAGGCCACTAGGTTTTGTCACACTGTGGAAAGAGGATGGTATGTCCATGGTTCCTACATCTTTTTTTTTTTTTTTTTTTTTTTTCTTTTCAGACACAGTCTCTTTATAGAGCCCTGGCTGTCCAGAAACTTCCTACTGCTTGACAATTTCCACAGGTGGCCTCTTTTTTTGGCCTTCTGTCCCACAGTTGCAACCACACTCTTACCATCTTCTTTTTGTAAATTTTTTGGATGCTCCTTACCTTCTCCTGACCAGTTTACTCATTTCAGCTTGCATATAATTGTATGGCATGCAAACAAAGACCAGGCTTAGTCAGCAACCTCTTTGCTGTTAGACATAATAAAGAAACTGATATGACCACTACAGTTTATTGTTATTACCTGCTCATAGTAAAATTCACTCCGCGCCAGCTCATTTTCTTCCTCATTTAGACTCAAGATCCATTCCACCTCGGTTGCTTTGGGGACTCTCACCACAGCTGAATATGGAGGGCTTTCATTTTTAGCACTGTCTGGAACTGAGAAGAGGCTTGTTATTCAGTGCCAGTCACTGGTTGGTCCTGCACTTCTGCAAGCTGGAGGAGTATCACAGGCAGCTACCTGCCTGCTGTCTGAGGGCTCCCAACTTTTTCCTTGGTCTCTTTTCTTTTTTAAAGACTTATTTCCTTGTGTGTGTGTGTGTGTGTGTGTGTGTGTGTGTGTGTGCATGTACACGTGCCTGCAGAGGCCAGGAGAGGGCATTGGATCGTCTGGAATTAGGAGTTGAGGCAGTCGTGAATCACTCGGTTTAGGTGCTGGGAACCAACTCCAGGTCTCTGTGAGAGCAGAGAGTGTTCTTGACTGTATTCTCTCCTCTTTCCTTTTGTTTTCTTTAGGAAAGCCCATCAGGTACTTATCTGGGATAAATGTCACAGCATTTGTGACATGACTGTGATGCTTCACACAAGAAACCCTGAAAGACATGGCTCAACCATTGGAAACTAACCTGCTGTGGGACAGCACTGGCTAAACTGCTGCCAGTGATCACCCGAGGGAAGGAAAGCCCTGGATGAAGGACAAAGGACAATGGGGGAGGGAGCTGGGGTAGCGGTGGATGGGGTCACCTACTAAAAGCTAAGACCCAAAGTGGTTGGTTGTTGGCCTTCCCAGTGCAAGAAGCTAATGGGCCTAGATAAAAGTTCTTGAGAAGGATGTCAAGGGGACAGGTTGATAGAAAAGCCATGACTCCATTCCTGAACCAAGCGGATTGAGTTGCCACATGGTCATCAGTTGCAGCTGGTGACAACAGACACAGGGGATAAGATCAGACCTTACCTTCTGACTGGCATGGGCTCTCCTCTGGTGCACTGGAAAAAGAGAAACAAAATGCCTCAATCACTGCTTCTCTTCTTTGTACTTAGTGAATGAAATTGACATTTGTTCTAGTAGTCATTGTTCAGTGTGACAGTTTGAGTGACAATGGCCCCATAGGCTCATGGGACTGACACTATTGAGAGGTGTGGCCTTGATGGAGTGGATGTGGTAGTGTTGGAGGAAGTGTGTCATTGGGAGTAGGTTTTGGGGGGTTTTAGGGTTTCAGAAGTTCGAGCTAGGCCTAGTGTGTCACAGTCTCCTGCTGCCTGAGGATCAAAACCCCCCAGCTCCTTCTCCAGCACAATGTCTGCCTGCATGTCGGCATGCTCCCTGCCATAATGATAACGGACTACACATCTGCAACTGTAAGCCAGCCCCAATCATAAGAGTTGCTGTGGTGTGGCATCTATTCACAGCAATAAGGCTGTAACAGACAATCAGAGAATTAATCACACATAACTTTTTCTCTTCCTCGCTGGTCATGGCCATCTCTTACCATGCTTTGTCCTTTTTATCTCTTACATATCCATTTAAACGTCCCCATCTTTCTCTGTGTCTGAGGAGACCTCATGATTTTTCCCTGGCATCTGTAACAACTTTGCCATGATTCTGCAATAACTCTCCTTGACTCTGACCAACTAGCCTCTACTTGTGGCTGTAGCAAGATTTCATAAGTTCAAATCTGGTCACATTCTGCTCCTGCTTAAGAATTCCTCAGAAGCTGCTCAGGTTGAAAGTATTCCTCATCTGCAGTTCAGAAGAAAGGCTTCTGAGGTCTGGAATGACCGCTTCTTTAGGCATCTCCTGTCCCCATGACCTGTCTTCAGGGTCCCATTGCTCCACCATCAGCTCTGGTCAAGGGCTAAGTTTACAATGTGTATTAGGAACACACTGACCTACTCCAGTCCATGGCACCAGGGAGCAGGTCAAAGTCTTGTGCCAGTAAGTCTTCTGGATTTGGCTGCCTGCTATAAGTTCAGGGTCCACTGATCAGAACCCTAGCCATTCATCTACCTACTCACAGCTCCTCAAATGGTTACCATTTTCTCCTGCCTCTGCTTTTGCCGAGCTACTCTTCCCTCTGAGAATATTTTTTTTTTTCTGCTTTGTTCTTTTTTTGGTCTCTTTTCTACCAAACCCATTCTCTTAGATTCATCTCCAGGGGTCATCTTCAGGAGATTCTCTCAACTCCCTGGGCCACTGTGTGTTCTGTCACCACTGCACTCAGCCAATCAATCTCCTTGGCTGTTTATTGGCTGTCTCCCTAGTAAAATGGGGTTCCTTTAGGGTAATGTAACTATTGCAGAGTGACTGCTGGCAAAAGACTCTCCATTAACACTGACTGCTCACTTAAAACCACATCAGGATGGTGTATGGGTAATCCCTGTCCTACACCTGACAAGGGAAGCAGGGAGTGGTGTGTTAGGGTTTCAGGAACTGTTCGACACATATGACATGCTTTCACTTCTATGTAGTCCAAACTTATGGCAAATAATGACCAAAAATGCTATTGAGTAGAATACAAAATCTAGTTAAGCCTGCTAAATAAAATGAAACCTGAGACTCTAAAGTAATTTTGTTTTTGCATAGCTGATTTTCCCCAGGTGCCCTAAGAACCTTACACTTCACACTCTCAATGAGAAGCAGAAGAAAAAAATTCCAAGTCACCATGACTCACAAAACAACCTCTTCATTCACCCGCCTTGCTAGAGGGAGGGGCAGTTGCTGAGATTTACCTGGAGATTAGCCATGTGCAGGAAAGTGTAAGGGCTTGTCTGTGAATAACAAGCCAAGATGACTACCCAGTACAGAGACAGAGCAAATGAACCCACACATTCAGTGGGCATGGACATGTCGTTCTGAGTCTAGTTGGAGTCATATGAACCACAAGTGGGCAGGTAGCAGGTAAGGTGACAAGATGAAACGGTGACCTCAGTGTGTGGAAGGGCTGAGGACCAAAATGTCTCCATTTCAGAAAAAAAACAGCCTGTGAGAACTCTGAACATTCCCTCTTCATCCCCACTTCCCATCTTCAAAGTGTCTCTGACAAAGTCACTCAATCTATAAGCATTTCACAATGCTGTTAAGGACACTGCAGTGTTTGTGCTAAATCAAACATCTCTGTGGTGTAATACAGTATAATCCTGCACAGTGGGAGTGCTGGCACAGTAAGGACCCTGTGGAGGTGACAGTGGTTCATGACTGTATCAGACTTGCTGCAGGACACTCACTCTTTGTTGTAGTAACTGTAGCACTGGTCACACACGCGTGTAGGGTTTTCTCTGCAGCCGTCCACCACCATTTTCTTAGTGGAGCAGGAACCACACACTAGCCGCCCACAGCGGCGACAGTGATGACGTCTGTTGAACTGAGGAAAGCCATTGGGATAGAAGGGATGGCGAGAGATGAAAGTGAGACTGTCACTCACATGTCCATACTTTTTTTTCTTGTCAACTATGGCTTATTAAGAATACCAGGCACTTGGTTTTTTACTGAACATGATTACACTAGCCCTTGTCCTCAGAAAGGTCATATTTAGGGGAATGGGTTTTTAGCTTAGTGCATAAGGCCCTGGGTTGGATTCTTAACACCTCCTTCCCCATACACATGAAAGGAAAGAAAAAGAAAACAAACAAAAGCCTACCAAACAGACATTCTAAGGTATTACTCAGCTGAAAATCAAATGTTCTAAGTCTTTTGCCATTTGCAACTAACAGTTTCTGACAAGGTTTGCCTCTGTGTGGAAGACATGTGGAGACACTGTAAGAAGCAAAAGGGAAGGTAGGCATGGTGGCTCACACCTATAATCCCAGCACTCAGGTGGCTGAGGCAGAGGGATTACTGAGAGTTCGAGGCCAGCCTAGGCTACACAGTGAAGTGTAAGCCAGCCTGAGCTATAGTAAAATCTAGCAGGGAACCCCAGAGTCTTGCTCTCCTGACCATTTGGTAAAATAACTGTTGCGCTCCTTCTGAATGTGGCTATAGTGGAGGAGTCTGCGACTGGGGAAACGGCCCCGAACAGAGACTAAGGCTCAAGCCTTCGAGCTTGCAGGCTGAGGGCAAGTGTTTGCATGAGGGCTACATATAGGTAATCTGCATTATTAACAGGTTCCATGTTTAGTAGAGGGTTGCATATACTTAATCCACACTATTAACAGATTCTATATTTAGTAACACAAATAAAAAAATAAAAATATGAAAAAATTTTAGTAAGGAAGAAGAGCTTTGCTTAGCCAGTGATGACCACACTTGTAGAGAGTCAATGATGGCAGAGCGAGAGCACGACCTCAGCCAAGTGCCATGAGGTACTGACATCTTAAAGCTTTACTTTACTTATATGTCTGTGTCTGTCTGTGTACATGAGTTCAGGTCCCCACAGAGGCCTGAGGAGGGCACCAGATCCCCTAGAACTAGAGTTAGAAGTGGTTATGAGCTGCCTGGTGTGGGTGCTGGGAACTGAACTCTTGTCTTCTGTAAGAGTGCAAGCGTTCTTAACCACTGAACCAGCTCTTCAGCTTTTTTTTTTTTTTTACTCAGTCTGTCTCTTATAGCTCAGGCTGGGCTCAAAGTCACTACATAGCGGAGGATGACCTTGAACTGCTGATCCTCCTGTATCTACCTCTTGGGTATATTACAGATGTGGGTCATCACCTCCATTTTAAGTAGTACTGAGACTGAACCAGGGGCTTGGTCCATGATAGGCCACCACTCTTCCAAGTGAGCTGCAGACCCAAGCCCCTTCAACTGTTTGTGTTTTTAAAGAAGGATTGCTCCATTTCACTTTTTTTAGAGGTTGACAGTCATTTTATACTCTTTCATAGATGAGGAAAGAGATGTAGAGAAATTATATCTGTTGACATTAGTGCTGAAGTAATCTGCTAGACAGGCACTGGTATTAAGTGTGGTACCATATGCAAGTACATGTAGTTTCAACAGCTCCATGAGGCAACTCACACATCAGTTGTAGCTCATTAGAGGCCCATGAGATTGAAAATGCTTACAGTCACACTGCTATTAGGAAGCAGAGCTGAGAGGAGGAACTGAGTCTTCTCTCTCCTGAGCTAGCATATACAACTATTATCAGGTCACTGTCTTACTGTGAAAGACATAGGGACTAGATCTAGGTCACAAAAGACTTGGTGACTCCTGCCTGTTTTTATCACCCAGTGAGAATGACAATGGTTTTATAACTTAAGGCTATCCGAGGATGTCTACCAATGAAAGGGTCCTGAGAATGCAGTCAGGTCAGGTCTAAGGCAGATATAGTCATAGGGTTGGTGATCTGAAAACATCGTTGTCTTCTTGGGGACAGCTGACTGAGAACTCAAGATCACAACATCTGCTCTTCTCTCCCTGGAGTGATGCTGAGGGTGGAGGCTGCTTACCATAGTGAAGTGCTCTCTGCAGCAGACCATGCAGATGCTCTCGGTCTCATCTGGGACCCACTGATCCCTGGCAGGGGGTATTTCTGGGGGCACAAACCCCAGCGGTGGCTGAGTCTGAGGGAAAGCCCTCTCCTTGGGACTGGGGGAACGGACTAAGGCACTTCCTGGAGTAAGAAGTCAGAGAAAAAGCTTGTCAACATTCTGGCTCATCAGTGAAGAGGAAAAGACAGAAGTTTACAGTTTCACAAGGCCCTACTGGAATGATAGAGCTAGATGCTTGGAGGCTGTTTGAGTCACAAAACAGAGACAGGGGACATTGTGTGCCCAACCCCCAAAATGGAAACATACAATAAAATAGGTCAAATACAGTTAATAAAAACCACTAAGCCTGGGGTGAGAGTGGGCAGTGAGGTCTCAGTGGGCAGAAGGTGCTTGTTGCTAAATCTAAAGACCCAAGTTTGATCCCTGGGATCCACATTGGTAGGAGAGAATCGACTCCTGCAGGTTGCCCTCAACCCATATTCTATGGCACACATGTGTGCACACAATGAACAAATGTAATTTAAAAACATGCTACGACCATATCAAGATAAGCTTTAGAACTACTGATGCACTAGAAACTTAGGGGACACAGACCCTCACTGTCATAAGGGGGTAGTCAGCAAAACTTAGCATGTAGACCAGGGGTGGTAGCACATGCCTTTGATCCCAGCACTCAGGAGGCAGAGGCAGGCAGATCTCTTGAGTTCTAGGTCAGCCTGGTTTACATAATAAATTCCAGGATAGCCAAGGCTGCACGAGAAAACCCTGTCTCAAAAAAAAAAAAATCCAGTCTATGGGACAAATGACCTAATTTCCATAACAAATAAAAGAGAGAGGGAGGGAGAAAAAAAAAAAAAGAAATGGGCTGACCAATTAGTTAGGCTAAAGAGACATTTTAGCCAAATGCCACATCTGGATGTTACTTGGAACTGGATTTAGAAAAAAAACATACAAACAAACAAAAAAAATAACTTTACCTGACAATTGGGAATATTTCAGTATCAACTAGATATTCTATAATAATCATTATTTGTTTTTAGGTCTAACATTATGGTTTGATTTTTTAAAAGACTTTATTTTATTTTACATTATGTGTCTGTGTGTGGGTGTATAGACATGTGAGCACAGGTGTCTACATAATCCAGAAGAGGGTGTTAACTCCCCTGCGGCTGGAGTTACTACCAACTGTGAGTGGCCCTGTGTGGGTTCTGGGAACTGTGCATTCTTCTGCAACAGAAGTTCATGTTCTTAGCTGCTGAGTCATCTTTCCAGCTTCCAATGGTTTGATTCTGTAAGAGTGTTTGGCTTTTGGAAGTTTGTAACTGATGTGTTTATAAAAAGATAAAGATATAGAATATGTTCTGTGGGTGTGTGGTGAGGTATGGGGGAAGGGGATGTCTCAGCGGGCCCATGGCAAGGCATCCCTTCCCCTTGAGGGACCAGCCACATGACGGTATAGTATAGAATAGAGTTTATTCAGGGCATGGGGAGGGGAGTTAAGAGGGTAGTAGAGGCAGAGAAAGGGGGGGAGAGAGAGAGAGAGAGAGAGAGAGAGAGAGAGAGAGAGAGAGAGAGAGAAAGAGAGAAAGAAAGAGAGAGAAAGAAGAGAAGTAGAGGCCAGCCATGAGCACGTGGAGAGAGGGAGAAGGGAATGGGGAAGGGGGTGAGTGGACAGAGAGGGAACAAGAAGGCAAGAGATCAAGAGAGCAAGAGAGAGAGGAGGGGACAAGCAGCCCCTTTTATAGTGGGCCAAGCCTACCTGGCTGTTGCCAGGTAACTGAGGGGAGGAGCATACCTGGCTATTGCCAGGTAACTGTGGGGTGGAGTTTAGACAGAATGCTAACAGTAAGACATATTTACAAGTGAAATAATGTATATCTGGGATTTGTTTGGAAACAACCCATTAGAGGATGGGCACACAGATGAAATAAGCACACACACACGCACGCACACACACACACACACACACACACACACACACACGACCCCAAAAGCTGCTTAGACACCCAAAGTCTGGGTCCTCCCTTCAGGTCTGCAGGTTGTTGTGAAGCTTGGCCAGGAAATGCCATGTTCTTTGCTTTATGGTATCTAAGGAGATTTCCTATTGTCTGGAAGAGCAATTTCACTACCAGCAGGAAAAATGAACTGAACAAAACTGAAAGCACAGTGATTCTTAGCGGCACCCAGAGCTCTGCTCTCCTGACTATTTGGCTAAACAACTGCTGAGCCTTTCCTGAATATGGCTTGTTGGGCATGGCCTTGGAGACTGGAAGAGAAGGGAGCTGAAGAAAGGTGACCAAAGCACGATTGAGGCCTCCAGGGAGCTTGTTCCTTGTGTGGGCAATAGAATTTTCATGAGGGTTAAATACAGTTAACCCTCATCATTAACAGATCCCGTATTTACAGTGTTGTCTAGTCACTAAACATGCCACTTCAGAATCAATACTCTCGTCCTGCTAGTTTTTGTCAATTTGGCATAAATTAGAATCACATGGGAAGAGGGACGCTCAATTGAAGGACAGTCTCCATCAGACTGCATGTGGTCATGTCTGTAAGGCCTTTTTTTGATTAATAATTGACGTGTGTGTGTGTCCAGTCCACTGTACCACCCATGGGCAGGTGGTCCTGGGTAGTATATGAAAGCAAGCTGATGACCTGGGTGACAATGGTGCACTCTTTTAATCCCAGCACTCAGGAGGCAGAAGCAGGCAGGTCTCTGTAAATTTGAGGACAGCTTGATCTACAGAGCTAGGTCCAGGACAGCCAGGGCTACACAAAGAAAACGTGGGTCAAAAAACCCACAAACAAGAACAACAACAAAACACAAAACAGAAAGGAAGAAAGGAAGGAAGGAAGGAAGGAAGGAGGGAAGGAGGGAAGGAGGGAGGGAGGCTGAACAAGCTGGTAAGCAGCATTTCTCTGCTTCAATTCTTGCCCTAATGTCTCTCAGCGATGATCTGCTACCTGCAAGTGTTCAATAAAACAAACCCTTTCCTTCCATTTTATCACAGCATCAGAGAAGCCAACTAAGAGACTCAAAATCCACATTCCTCCTGCTTTTACAGCTACATATGGCATGTCTGGACTGGAGACATTTTGAGTCACCCAACATTCAGGTTCTCAGTAGAGGTTGATTAAGGTGACATTCTTTCTCCCTGTCTCAGCTCTCACGTGGTGGTGACAAGGGTATGGAAATCGTAGAGAGCAGGTTAGGGCTGGGCAAGGACTCTGGTTCTACACCAATGGACAGACTCAGAATTCCACCTTGGGTAACTGTTAGTGAGGTAAGTCACTTCTGGGCCTCTTTTTTCTTTGTAAGAAAAAAACCCCACAGAATCTACTAGGATGAGTTACTTTGTCAGATTTTAATAAGATAAAGTACATAAGGAGTGAGTGTGTGTGTGTGTGTGTGTGTGTGTGTGTGTATACACGCCCATATGCATGTAGTTTCCTCCTCTGGGAGCAACAGCTCAGGGTTCACTGACGCGGCGCTTGCAGGGACGTTTATGAAGGCACACTGTCATAGATATTGAGAGTCAGCTGTGTGATGACTCTACTGGGAAGTAAGACACTGGAGTAAATTATGAAAAAGCAGAGTTTCTTAAGTGGAAACGAAGAGTGAGTGAGAGAACGAGAAAGTCAGAACAAGCAGCTCTCACCAGGAGCGGTAGCCGCAGAGAACTCGGCTGACGATGACCTAGACAGGGTCTCTGAGTCTGAAGCTTGATAGACAGGCTCCTGGAGGTGAATCACGGAATCTGCTGAAAGAGAGAGAGAGCTGGCAAAACACTGGTCTGCCACGAGCATCTCAGATGCTGAGCACGGACATCTGCTGGTTTTGTTGATTGTTGCAACATGATTATATTAGATATAAAACAATGGTAAAAAAAAAAAAAGCTTATATGCCCAAGATGTATGTCTTTTCCTCAAAACAAACAAACAAACAAACAAACAAACAACAAAAATAAGTCATATTTAAGGCACATGAGACAGTGGAGTAGATTTCTCAAAATAAATCTAAAAATGCCCAGACAGAAGCAGAAGACACTTCAATCTGCCCCTGGAGGCCCCTGGAGGACAGGGAGCTGGACAGAAGCATCTAAACTGGTTTTTCTTTTTCATTCTAGAAGAAGTTGAATCAGCTAACATACAACTGATGTCTGACATGATCCTGGAAATGAAATGTGTCCCCCATAAAAACGATGGCACTTAGGAATCCACTGTCAAGCTCAGGTCGTCTGGCTTCCCACACCTTTGTGCTATCAGACATGTAGCATTTGCCCCGTCTCCTAAGAGCCAGATCTTGCCTAAATAACAAACAGCTGTATCTCCCGAGGATCCCTTCAGTTAGTATGGGGAGGAGATGGAACCCAAGAGCAGCATGGCATTTCCTCTTCCGTGCACAACTGCTGTCTAGCATGCTGTCAGTCACCTGATCGTTTCTCTCTCAGTGGGTACGGGAGGTCCAGGGCTTTCCCTGCGTATCTGGAGAGCAATGAGTCAACCTCCTCCAGGGTGAAGCCGATGTCTTCTCCAGCCAGCAGTTGGTGCAGAGTTTGCACGGCCGTGGTGGCCCAATCCACCTTCATGTTCATCAGCAGCTGCTCTAGCATGAGCAGAGGACTGGAGGACAAATGGGCATAGCTGGCCCGGTGCTGTTCAGGCAGAGTCAGAAGAACCTGTTTATGGGGTAGTGCAAAGGAAATAGTACATAAACTTCAGGAGACTCCGCTATTCTTGCAGGGAAGTGACAGGGTTAAAGTGAAAGGGTTAAAGCACTATTGCATTTGGGAAGCAAGGTTAAGTCCTCTGGGTGGCAAATGAGAAGTGTCCTAAGGGCCTTTATATAGACAAGAGGTTGCTAATCTTTTTCTGTAAGAGGCAAGAGAGTAAATATTTTAGAGTTTAGGACTTAAAATCCATGTAGCATGAAGGAAGACATAGACAAATACATAAGTGAGTTTATGAATGGATGTGGCCCGTTTCAATACAACTTGGTTTTCAGAATAGGCTGAGGGCTAGCTCTGGGCTACAGGCAGCAACCAGAGGATACCCTGGCCTGGACCCGCCAGGCATGGTTGAGCTTTGCCTAACCCCAGATGCTCTCATTCTATGTGAAGTTTTGGTTAGAATGGACAACACAAGGCGATGCTGGCAGGCTGTCTGACCCTGGTAGCTCCAGTGTCCTCGTCATAAAAAGATGGATCTAAATGCCCTTTAGAGGTCAGGATCACTAAGCACTGGTCCTGTTCTGCTTCCTACCCCTTCCCACCCCCAGTTAATTCAGTGATGTCACTCAAAAAGAAGAGCTCAGCATGGTGGGCTACGCCTGACAGCCCAGCATGCGGAAAGTGGAGGCAGAAGGATTTGGAACAGTCTCACTTATGAAGTGAGTTTGAAGCCAGCCCGGGCTTCCAAAAATAAACAGATAGCTAAAACCTAACAAATCAAAAAACTCCCCACAAAACCAACCAACCAACCAACCAACCAACCAACCAACCAACCAACCAAAAACAAAATGAAAGAAGGAAAAGGAATCTCTTCAGGGTAAGGCTGTGTCTCTGGCTCTCCTGGCACTTTGTTTTATTTTGGGAGCAGTGTACATGAAACATCAGAACAATTAGAAAAGAGCCAGAGGGTCTTGTCTCCAAATCCTGCTGGATTACTTACTATTATTTGTTGTTTTTTCATTGGTGTATCTCACCTATTTTCTCATATAACTACTGAGACAAATAAACCTCTTCCACGAGTATGGACTATTTACCACACAGATGTTTTAAAATTTATGCGCGTTCATATTTGTGTGTGCGTGTATGCGTGTGTGCGTGTGTGCGTGTGTGCGCCTGCTTGTCTATACATGCATGCCATGCCTGTGGAGGCCATAAGAGGGCATCCGATGGAACTGGAGTTACGGGTTATTGTGAGCAGCCTCATGTAGGTGTTGGGAACTGACCCCAGGTCCTCTGGAAGAGCAGCCAATGCTCTTAATCTTAACCATTAGGCCAACTCTCCAGCCCCTCAAATAGTAGTTTAAAATCCTTACATCCAAATCTTTTTGGAAAAGAACTAGTCCTTATCCCATGACCATTTTCAACTAGTCTTGTGACTACTAATATTTTTGAAACAGCCAGTGATCCTAATACATGGTCCGTCCTGAGAAACAATGATATATATATAGCAGGTACCATAGAAAGCCCAAGGACAGCTTGAGAGGACTGGTCAAACCTCTCTTCAGGGAGAGGACGGAAAGACTATGACAAGTCCTAGGATACTCAATTAGGACGAGGTGAACTGCCAGGTTACGGCGGTTTTATAGGGCACAGGCCAAAGCGAGCAGGTACCTGGCATGAGGGCCTACGAAAGGGCAGATTCTGAGGTGGAAGTAAGGCCAGACGTCTCTGTCAAGCATCGTTTCCTCAGACCTCTTTCCTCCTCACCTTAGATCCCATGTACAGTGCCTGGATCTCACGGTGTCGGTCAGTGGTCAGTTCTCCGTAGAAGTGAGAGGTGAGGTAGTTGGCCAAGAAGTGTGAAGTGGCTAAGCTGGGGTGCTGGTCAAGGGACCGCTCTGTGACTTCAAGGCACATGGTGGGATCAGGGATTCGTTGCAGGAGCTGTACCAGAGGATAGAGAAGGAGGTGAGACCTACAGAACTCTCAAGATGGCCTTTCATGGTGAGAGAAGGTAATATTTAGGTTCCTTCATTTGGGGCTAATTATGTTTCTTGACTCACTTGTTGCCCCCGCACACCCATACTTTACTAATGAGCCTGCCTTTGAGAGGACTCAAATGCTCCATGTGGCAACTAAGGCAGGCCTAGGTACGTAGCTCAAAATGAATGTAAGTCGCCCCTGAAGCACAGAAGGGGCAGGTCTGCAATGACAAATACTTTGCATGGGATTCAGTAGGAAACGAGTCACCTGAGTTGAGTAACCTTGCCCCTCCCTGGATGAGAAGTGTAAAGAAGCAGAGCTTACTTGAAGAGCCTTCTCATGCTCTCTTCTTTCTAGCAGGTGGAGAAGATGCTTGTGATGCAGACTGACCAAATGTTCTCTTGGAATGGGGTAGAGACGGCCCCACTCCTCACACAGTTCATACTCCTGGAAGGAAACACACACCTTCAATCAGTTCCTTTAAATTGCTAGCTCTTGGGGCTGGGGAGATGCTCAGTGGTTAAGAGCACTGGCTGCTCTTCCAGAGGACTTGGGTTCCATTCCCAGCACCCATATCGTAGCTTACACCTGTAACTCCAGCTCCAGAGGATCTGGCACACTTACACAGAGGTAGACGCAGGCAAAACACCAGTGCACATAAAAAAGAAATCTTTAAAAAATTTACGGTAATATAAACTTTGTGTGTTTTTTTCCTTAGCATTCTTTTGTTGTTGTTTTTTTTTTTTTTTTTTTTTTTGAGACAGGGTCTCTCTATGTAAGCCCTGGCTGTTCTGGAACTTTCTATGTAGACCAAGCTGGCCCCGAATTGCATAGATCACCTGTATCTGCCTCTTGAGTGAAGGGATTAAAGGTGTGCATCATAATGTTCTGTTTTTCAACATTGCCAAACTATCCCAGTGTGCTGCTGTCTGGGACGCCTCTCTATGCCTCTGCCTGAGCCTACCTTCTTCACCACGATTCTTTGCTTTCCAGGTGATGGTGGTCAGGTGCCCTGCCTGGCTCTGGGCTAAATTCCGTCACTCGACCGTTCATGTTGCATGGCCTTGGGACGCATCTTATACTGCCTTTCCTCCTAGAATGTGAGCCACTCAAGAGTAAGGACTAAGCTCAGTTATCGCTGTCTTACCACCATCTAGCACAGTGCCCAGCAACACTTAGTAAATGTTGCTTAAATAAGCACCTACAATTGTAACCTTTGAGTTTTCAGCTTCTTAAAAGGCAGATACATTGCTATTAGTGCCAAAATGGACAATCAACTCAGAAAAGTGATTCATATTCATGGACAATCATGGACATGCAACTTGGATCAATAAGATACCACCCTAGTGGCAAAAGAAGGAGGAGGAGGAGGAGGAAGAGGAGGAGGAAGAAGAAGAGAAAGAGGAAGAAGAAGAGGAGGAAGAGGAGGAGGAAGAGGAGGAGGAAGAAGAAGAGAAAGAGGAAGAAGAAGAGGAGGAGGAGGAGGAGGAGGACAACATAAATAGTAGGCAATGATATGGAGCACTGAGAATAAAGCTGCCATCTGATTTGCTGAGAGATTTGATTTCATCCTAGAAAAGATGATAGACATGATAGACAGCAATTCCACGTGCAGGAACATTCTGCACGCAGTGTGGGACATCTCACAGAGGAATACCTCCGTGACAGTACTATCTTCTCTATCTCTCTATGTGTTGGCAAATCTCACAATTAAAAGAAACAAAGATTATATTGTAGTTACAAAATATAACCATCAGGACCAAAATATAACCAATATCAGGACCCTGATACCTGAGAGGGCTCTAGCCACATGACCAGGTAAGGAGCTACAGCTTGGGAAAATGGTACCTGCGATTCCAGCATCATGTCCATGACAGTTGATGGGTCTTCAGCACAGCAGTTCCTCAGGGTCTGCCAGTCACACCACACTGGGGGATCCTGTAAACCTAGGATCTGAGGAAAGACGGGCAGATCCATAAACCAGCTGACAGATGCTCTGTCCATGAACAAGTCATCGGTATGTCCATGGAAGGGCTGACCCTTGAGCTCTGCCCAGCATCAAGCTGTGTGAACTTTCGAGGAAAGAAGGGGGGTGGGAGAAAGCAAATGAGCAAAGGTTGTCTAGAGACAATAAGCCTCTCCAGGAGTAAAATTGGGGGGAAGTCTGACCAGCAGTCAGGACAGGAAGTTCTCACTGGTGAGGACAGTCAGACTTCCTGGGGTCACCTGTCCCTAGTTTCTCCATCTCAAAACTACCCAAGAAATTCTTCCAGCCTGATTGTTCTGTGGATCATCCATCCCACAGCATGTTAGTGTGAGAACTGCTCGAGGGGCACAGAAAGACCTTCCCCCTTACCATGTGTACCTAGCCTGGAGAGCTCCAGGCTCTGTTCTAGGCCACAGGGGAAGGTTCACATGTATTGTACACTGGTTATGCAGCTGACCTCCTGGGTCTGTCTCCCTGAGCCTCGTCAGCTTGGATACGACACAGATCCCACAAGAATCTTCCACTTTCTTCTACTCCAGTGCCACAGCCTTTACCTTCTGATAGACCCGCAGCTCCATCAGCTTCCTCTGCAGCTCAGATTTCAGTTCTTCTTGGACAGCCATGTCTGAAACACAGTAGGCCAGGATCTCCAGGCAGGACTCCAGGGGCCACCTGTCCACAAACCGTAGAGCCAGCTGACTTCTCAGGGATGCGTCCTTCACAGGAAACAGGTACTGCCAACCTTCCTTGTCTGTAAGACAAAACAATGTTCGAGGGCAGCAAGCCTGACCTGAAGGAGCTTAAAGGCCCAATGTAAGAGGGTTTTGTTTAGCCAGGCAGTGGTGGCACATGCCTTTAATTCCAGCACTTGGGAGACAGAGGCAGGTGGATTTCTGAGTTTGAGGCCAGCCTGGTCTACAGAGTGAGTTCCAGGACAGCCAGGGCTACACAGAGAAACCTTGTCTCGAAAAAACTAAAAAAAAAAAAAAAAAAAAGAGGGTTTTGTTCTATCTTACGACATAGGAACTGGGAAGGTCCTTCCAGTCCACGTGACTAGAACTAAGTTCATACCTGGAACCATCACATGACAGATAGAAAATCTCTACTCCTAGTGTCCCTTTGCACAAGCCGGTCAGTCATGGTACCTTCTGAAGGGAGAGAAGGAGAAAGGATAAAGGGAGGAGAAGGAAGGAAGGAAGGAAGGAAGGAAGGAAGGAAGGAAGGAAAGAAGGGAGGGACATTTCTAGTGTTTTGTTCTGTTGCCCATCTAGTGCCCTTGCAATTTCCACTCTGCATCCCATATATAAGTTATTGCACAGAAAGAAGTTTCATTCCCTAAATATCCTGTCACTAAGTAGAACTCTCTTTTTCCGATACCCATTCATCAATCTGATCTTAGAGACACAAAAACATAGACCCCAAGCAATTGATATCGTACAGTTCTTTTAGTGGACTTCTTAACCTTCTTGGGGGCTATTTTCCTTTCTAAGGTCTGCTCTGCCCGTCCTACAAAGCCACTCTGTACAGCACATCTGGTGTTTTCTCTCTCAGTGGAGAACTACAGCTCATTGGCTTTCTATGTTGATTATACATGAAAATCTCTTCTATTTACTTTTTTCATGTGTATGTGTGTGTATGTGTCATGAGATTAGAAGTTGGTGTTGGGTGTCTTCTATTGCTCTTCACCTTAGTTTTAAAAAAATCTTGTTTATTATTAGTGTGTGATATGTGTGCGTAGTACAGTTGCACACATACCATGGCAGAGGCCAGTCTTGGGAGTTGGTTCTCTCCTACTTTTATGTCAGTTCTGGGGTTCACACTCATCAGGTCACTGTGCTTGGTGGCCAGCACTTTTACCAGCTGAACCACCTCACTGGTCTCAGACCTTAGTTTTGAGACAGCATTTTTCATTGACCTGGAACACGTTGTTTTGCCTTGACTGGTTCACCTGCTAGCCCCTAGGATCTACTTGTCTCTGTCTCTAAGTGCTGGGGTTACAGATGTGTGCTGGACCACACATGGCTTTTATGTGGTGCTGTGGATCCAAGCTTAGAGCCTCATGCTTGAGCAGCAAGCCCTTTACTCGCCTTGTCATTTCTCTCATCCCTTGTTTTGTTTTGAGAAAGGCTGGCCTCAAACTTTCTTCAGCTTCCCAAGTGCTGGGCTGTATGTATTGATCACCAGGTCCAGCTCACAGTTCATTTTGCATAAGCAGTTCTATTAACACATGGACGTTCCAGTCCCTGTGCCTGTGGCCTCTGGCTGCCTTCATGCTGCACTAGCAGAACGGCTTAGCAAAGACCATGTGGTCTAAAAGGACTCTGCAGAAAAAGGTCGCTAAGGTCTCTTTTACCACTACCACTTAATTGACCTCCATCCTGGGCTTCTGAAGGCAGGCCCAGATTGTGGTTTATACACTTGACAATAATTCTGATATGCAGGATTGAAAATATTGGTTACTGGTTCTAGACACCCATTGTAAAGCGAGACTATGATGGTGTGTCTCCCTAGAGTTGCTGTGAAGATTACATGTGATCACGCCACAGTGAATGCGAAGTGATATTAGTGTCAGGGAGAGAGGAAGAGCATCTTGCTTACCGCACACAGTAGCACAGGTCAGGACTGAATCCCGTACACTGCTCAGGTCCTCCAAGTCTTGCCCATACACGTCAATGAGCTGAAGGGCTCGTGGCCAATCTCTGGCCACCAAAGCTTCCTCAAAGGCCTCCGTTAATACATCCAGGGCTAGAGTAGAATGTAGGCCCAGAAGTACGGTAGAGAGATTGGCCTGACCACAGAGACAGGCTGCCAGACTCTGTCTTGGCTCAGAGGCTTGTTGTAGAGGCTCCCAGTTAGCTAGGAGGGCAGCCTCAAACACAGGAAACTGTTCCAGGAGGTGCTCACACTCCTGGGCTACCTTCTCTGCAGTCAGAGGTGCCTCCCTGCGACCACGCAGTTCCTTCCATGACAGGCTGGGTTTGCTGACCTTTGTCCCTCGGGAAGCCCTCAGACAGGCCACCATGGCCAGTAGCTTTGAGCGAGACTTAAGGAAGGCCAAGGCAGAGGCGGTGAAGGCTGGGAGTGAATCCTTTGGGGAGGAATGAGACTTTCTCTCTGTTGAGGGGTTCTCGCTTGGTCTAGGGGGGCTCAGCACAGAGAGGGGCAGGCCATCCAGAAGGTGAGACGCATGCCCCTGAGCCAGCATGCGCAGGTGGGTCAGGAGGGATGAGGCCTGCTGGCTTTGTCGAGATAGGCAAAGAGTAAGGGGCTCACAGCAGCAGCTGACAATGACCTGTGGCACACTTAGGTTGAGATGCTCTTGGGCAAGAAGGGTTGCCAACCTGGAGGGAGAAGCAGAATGCATGTGAGGCCTGAACACATAGGCACCATCACCCAGTCTTTTACAGATTCCTTCATTCATTCACTCATTTATCTTAGACTCGGTTTTACTGTGCAGTCCTGGCTGGCCTCATACTTGCTGACTTTACCTCCCAAGTGCTGGCTTATAGGTAGGTGTCACTGCACAGCAGAAAGAGACAGCAGAATGACTAAGGCTCTTAGCCATTCTTTTAAGGGCAATATAAGCAGCTCACCAGACACTACACAGCTCCTTTTCACTTCATAATCTGAGGGATCTGTTCTCAGTCCTCTATTGGGAGGCAGTTTTTCTATAGCTATAAAGTATTACATAACTTAATTCATCCCATCTTAGTGGACCATGGGGTTTTCTGGTCTGTTGCACACGTACTACTTTTCATACATGTACAACCAAGTGTCAGGATGAAGTCCCCAGAATGGATTGCTACATTAAAAGGACCATCAATTTGCTTAATGTTAAATAGCACACAAAAGAACAGATGTCATTATGGTCTTTTTACAGTTTGCTTTTGTGGACAATTCTCTTTGCTCCTTCTCTATCTGCTGGCTCCCACCTCTTTCAGCTTTAATAGTTAGTCCCCTTTCTTTTCTCCTCCTCACCCTCCTCTTCTTCTTCCTTCTCCTCCTCCTTCTTTCAAGACAGGGTTTCTCTGTGTTGCCCTGGTTATCCTGGAACTCACTTTGTAGACCAGGCTGGCCTCAAACTCAGAAATCCACCTGCCTCTGCTTCCCAAGTGCTGGGATTAAAGGCGTGCGCCACCACTGCCTGGCTGTCCTCTTGGTTTTCAAAGCCTGTGTATCTGATACAATACCCACCAAGCAAACCTCTTCTTCCCATCTTGTCCCCTCTCTAGTTATATGACCTATGATCATAAAACTATATATTAATTAAAAGCTAGGAGCTGTATATGGAGAGGATATATAATATTTGTCTTTCTTGAGTCTGTTACTTCCTTTAATATAATAATTTGACATTCATCCATTTTTCTGCAATTTCTTCTTTCTTTGTAGAGAACTGGCTTCTACTGTCCACATGTAGGCCATTTTCATTGTCCACTCATCTGCTAAAAAAACACCCCAACTGACCTCATTTCCCTGTTTTTGTGAATAAGTCAGCAACATACATGGCTGTGTAAGTATCTCTGTGGCACTGCAGAGAGTCCTGGATGCAGGAGTGGTGTAGCTAGGTCATGCAGTAGTCCTACTTTTTGATCTTAGAGAAAGCATCACACTGGTTTCCACAGTGGCTGTACCAGCTTCCTCTCCCACCAGGACTGAGTAAGGATCCCTGCCTCCCTCATCCTCACCAGAACTTGTTGTCATATGCTTTTCTGATAGCAGACGGGGGTGAGGTGGAATCTCAGAGTAGCTCTAGTTTGCATTCCCTGGTGGTTAAGGATGTTCACTACTTTTGAAACTATTTACTGGCCATTTGTGAACAATTTGTAATCTTAGTAGATAAACTGCTTTTCCACAGGAGTTATAACAACTTTTATACCTTACAGGTAATAGTCTCAAGTCTGAGAATGCTTATTTTACTCTAGGCTACATGACCATCGCTGTGGAAGCTCTGTTTTGTTTATCTGGCAGTGAGTCACCATGAGTCTCCTACTTAGAACACACACTAGTGGTAGCAAGAGAGAAAGAAAGTAAGAATGATGAGTTTGAGCCTGCTACGAAAGAATACAAATCTTCACAGGTGACGCTTACCTGTCTGGGGGAACTTGTCTTTCAAGCAGCAGATGTGACACCAGCTGGGAAGAGCTCTGCTGCAGAAGAACAAAGGGATTCCCAACCTTGACCTCCACATTATCTGAGAGAGTGAAGAAATAATCTTTGTTTGCCTTGTTAGGTGCAACTGATCAGGGTCCTGTTTCAGAGAATCGATTAGTCGTACTGTGAGCGACAATGAAGACAGCAGGAACAGTTGACTCATAGTAGGTACAGGTGTTCACACCATGGCGTTGGACACAAGTTAATCTTCATCACAGTATTAAAGACTTCCAACCCAGACAAGCTTCAGTGGCCAGTCTAGCTACAGACAGCACACAATGCTCACTGTAACCTGACTGAAATTGAGGGTGACAGTTTGAGCATCTGTCTCTGAAATGCTCTGAAGTGTTTTGGCTCCTGGAATGTCTTCATGTACATAATGGGGTACCATGGGATAGGATCTAAGTCTAAACATGATGTTTCATTGATATCTTATGTACAAAACCCAAAGATAAGATTATACAGTATTTTCATGCATCTGTGTTTCAGCCATTACCTGTCAAACCATTCATGGCAATAGGTTGGTGGTTAAAAAGGTTGGGAATCTGGAAAATTTAAGATTTCAGATTTTTAGACATCCACCTGGAATTTGCTATCAATTCAAGAAAGAATCTAGGACTCAGTAAAGGTCTGATTTTTCTACTGGGCTATCAAATCCACAATGGACTCCAGGTCTGACAGAATTTTTGTTTTGTTATAGGCTATTATATAGCCTGGACTGGACTGGAACTCCTGATCCTTCTGCCTCTGCCCTCCACATTTTAGGATTAGAGGCTTGTGCCATCACACCTGGCTTCAGAGATATTTTTTTTGTTTTTTTTGTTTTTTTTTGTTTTTTTCGAGACAGGGTTTCTCTGTATAGCCCGGGCTGTCCTGGAACTCACTCTGTAGACCAGGCTGGCCTCGAACTCAGAAATCCGCCTGCCTCTGCCTCCCGAGTGCTGGGATTAAAGGCGTGCGCCACCACCGCCCGGCCAGAGATATTTTTGAGGCACCAATTCCATGAGATGTTATTGAAGACTTCCATGAGCTTGATTTTTACTTAGCAGAAAGATGTACAGAATAGAGTAATAAGAGATTCTGATATCCTTGGTTATTGGGTAACTAGAAAGAACCTCTTTTTTTCGGTTTCTTTGCGTAGCCCTGGCTGTCCTGGAATTTACTCTATAGATCAGGCTGGCCTAGAACTCATAGAGATCCGCCTGCCTCTGCCTCTCGAGTGTTAGAATTAAAGGCATGTGCTACCAATGCCCGGGTTAGAAAGAGCCTCTTAATGAAGCACTTCTCTTCCTTTTCTTAAATAACTGCCAGTCATGACTCCAAATCTTTCTCACTACTCACCAGGGTCAGAGCTCAGACTCCGAAGGAGAACTGCAGCCAGGCTGCTGCAGTAGCTGAAGAAGGCTCCCACATAGTCAGTCTGTCTGGGGCCCGCCGGTATCTGTTTTCCTAGGGTTTTCTGGAGGAGCTGGCTTTGGATATGCACAGGGTGGGCCTCTGCTTCAGGGGCTTTCTGGGCTGCCTGTTCCACTAAGCAAGAGAGTGGAGTACTCTTGGGCTCTGTAAGGAATCCAGATGGGAAAAGACATATGGCTTTATTCTATGCTTCTAGCTTTGAACCAATTTCTAAAAATAAATATCCTATTTATTTATTTATTTGTTTGTTTTTGAGACAGGGTTTCTTGTGTACCCTGGCTACCCTGGAACTTGCTGGCTCTGTAAACCAGGCTAATTCCAAACTCACAGAGATCTGTCTGCTTCTGCCTCCTAAGTGCTGGGATTAAAGGCATGGGCTACCCACAGGCGGCTCTGTTTTTTATTTTTATATATGTGCCTGTACATGTGAATTTGGGTGCCTGCAGAAGATGTGAGACCAACCGGAGCTAGAGCTCAGGTGTTTGTGAGCCACTCAGTGTGGGTGCCAGGAATTAAACTTGGGTCCTCTGGAAGAGCAAGTGCTCTTAACCACTGAGCCATCTCTCTGGCCTCACAGCTTTGGGTCAACTTGTGATCGGTGAGTAAGCTGAGCTTTCTACATAGTACACTGGGTGTCTTTAGGACATTCGTGACTATGTAAGCACCACACTTAGAAGGTAGACAAAACAGACAAACAAAAATCCCAGTTCAGCCATATGACCACGTGATCTCAGCCAGAGAGAGCCCGAAGTCTAGTGAAAGCAGACTACATAGTTCTATTTTGACCCTGCTGTCTCTGGGGCGAAGCGGCTTTATGAAGAGCATGTGAAGCGTTTGGGGAGGGTTGGCCCAAACCAACCCTGTACCAGCAGGAGTAAAAAAAAAAAATGTACCTGCTAGTAAGAGTGTCAAGTGTCCTCTCAACTGAGTTGGGGAAGACAGAAGTGCGGTTCTCAGATGTACCTAGAAAGGGCTGACTGAGCCCGGCTCTAGAGGGCAGAGCCTCTGCTCCAAAATGCTCATACAGCCACAGCTGTCTCGTCTCCCTGTTCTGCTGCTCTTTTCGGCTTATCTGTTCCTGTGCAGACAGAGCTGTACCTGGCAGCGCTAATGCCTCTCGAAGTGACTGGAGAGCGTGATCCAGCTGCTGGGAAAGGCTGGTGTGGCTGGCAACGCAGTCTTCGGTGAGGCTGGGCCAGCACATCCGAAGCAGCTCAGAGATGCTGTACCGCGGAGCGCCTCCTCCTCTTTCTTCTGGAGTCTCTATGGAAAGCATGTGAAAAGGAAGAGAGGGAAAGAAAAATGTCTGCTGACCCGTTGTTCCAATCCAGGAAAGGCAAAGGGGTGGAGTAAAGCAACTTACCTGATTTTGTTAGTCCTGTTAGTGTAAGTGGATAACTGAGAATCTTACTAATTTGCTGAAGGACAAATGGAAAACCTCGCATACCATCAGGATTCAGGACAGCCTGGTCTAGCCTTCGACCTGAAGGAGACAAAGTTAGAAATGGTTGTTCAGAGGCCGATTCTCAGTTCTGAAGCTCCCTGTATAATCTTCTCTTCTCTAACAGTAATTGCAAGGTACACATTGTGTCATTTCGGGTGATAATGAGCAGACCTGGCGTACGCCATGCCTGAGGCTCCAGGACTAGCTTGGTGAGATGCCTCAGCCATCAACAGCAGATTCAGAATCTCTGGCATTTCTGTGGGATTTGCTGACTAAAGACAAAGGGATATTTCCTGGGGATTTGTCTTCCTATTCTCTTCAGCCGTTCTAATTGCCCAAGGCTATCTTCATATACCTTTCCATACTCTTGTTCTAAGACAGTGGCTCTCAACCGTCCTAATGCTGCCACCCTTTAATACAGTTCCTCATGTGTGGTCACCCCTCAATCATAAAATTATTTGCATTGTTACTTCATGATTGTAATTTTGCTACTGTCATGAGTTGTAACATAACTATCTGCTGTCTGATGGCTGTATGTGACCCCTATGAAGGGGTTGTTCGACTCTCAAGAGGTTGTGACCCACGGGTTGAGAACCACTGCTCTAAGAATTCCATGTACATGTCCTAGGACATTTTCCTGTATCCTGGTTTACAGATTCATGACAGTTCTAGGCTACGGTCAACATCTTCACCCAGGAGGGCCTGCAGTCTCACGGTACTCATTTCTCAGAACTTTGGTTTTTGTAGGCTAACAGATTGAGCCCAGGGTTCCAGCATGCTGCACCCTCACCTCACTAGTCTCCATCATTCTTGAAGTATGTTTCTTTCTTTTTACAAAGTAGCAATTGGTGGGTTTCTTTGTGGCATCTTTATGTCATATGCCTTGTACTCCCCTCCTCTCTCTTCTGCTGTGGATCCCTTCTTCCCTATAATCTAGTTGCCCTTTGACTTCCTTCAATTTAATGATAAATCAGAAAAGAATTTCCCTAAGTGACTGCAGACTGCTGTCTCTGACTTTGAGGAGACACTTGATAATCTGAACTCATGCCATTAGGATGAGGGCGTTGACTAATGCTTACTCCCGTCTCTTTTCCTCCCCTCACAGCTTCTTAAAGGTTTGATGAGTTCTTTGGCACAACTGAGAATGAATGAATGAATGAATGAATGAATGAACGAACGAACAGGAATGGAGGGAGGTGGATATTGCTCACTTACCCCGGCTCTCAAGGCTGCTGTTCAGTCGCCGCTCGGCTGTTTCTAAGAGCTGTTTGCAGGTCTTCCAGAGCTGGCACTGGCAGCAAGCTAGGTCAAATGCAGCCATGGCAGGGGGACTGAGGTCTTCCAGAACTTCTCTGAGAGGAGTGGTGGTCTCCATGGGAGTAGCATTTATCCAAAAATCCTCCTGGAGCGTGGGGATGGGGTCTTCGGAGGGGCTAAGGAGCTTGTCAGTCACGTCAGAGATGGAGTAAAATACCACCCCTGGATACGCAGCAGCGTTGGAGCAAACAGAAGGGTAGGGTGAGTCTAGCTAGCGCCTGCATTGTGAATAGTAGTTTGCCTGAGGCTCTTCTGCACAGGATCTGTGCATGCTAGGCTTTCATTAGGGCCATCCATGGGAAACACTCTAAAACGCATTGCTAACAAAAAGCACAGTAGACAACACTACTGCTGTCAGAGCCCCTTTCTGTCTGAAACATTGAAACGATGTGCCTGTATGTTTTAAATAGGGGCTGGGGAGATGGCTCACTGGGTAAGAACACTTGCTGAACAGGCACAAGGACTTGGGTACGTATTTTAAGTAGGCACTGGAAAGTTTCTGGAAGCATATGTCAAGGCCAACCACAGGATGGGAACCTGATAGATGGAGTCTGGGGACAGGTGGGACAGCTGAAGATGTGGAAGAAGCTTCTGCTTTGAGAAAGAAGAAAGGTAGAGTTTGGGGAATGCTGCCACTTTGGGGAACCAGGCTGTGGCCCCCAGGCTGCATATGTTAACAAGTGATCTTTTTTTCTAGGAACAGTCACGTGATTCCGCTTACTGCTGAATAACTAACTACAGGGAGGGGAACTGCTCCTAACAATCCTCTAAAGCCCCCGTGAGTGATTACAAGATGCACTGGGGCAACCCTCCTGCTCTTTTGTAAGCTGTGAGGATACGCAGGGTGGCTTGAGTGGCAGGTGTGTGGGACACCTCTTCAGGAGGCTTCGTGCAGCTGGGAAGGTGCTCCGGATGTGTCAGGATTGCTGGCTTTGAGGCCAGGTGTCCTGCTTTCCGTTTCTGTTGACCTCTCATGATGATCTGGGTGGTTTCTTCCCTTAAGCTAGCACCCCAGCTATCCCTCCAACTTTGACGTTGGCAAGGAAGACAAACCTGCTGCTGCGGCACTGCCAATGGCCTGTAGAGTTGAGCGACCACTGCCAGTGCGCCGGATGGTGTTGTTACCCCCATCTGAATTCTGGTTTTCAATCTTATGCTCTACGCGGGCCAGCTCCTGGACCACCTCTTGGTATCGCTCTACAAACATCAGCTCGCCGGCGCTAGGTGAGGACTTCAGGTTGAACATGAATACCACCTGTCATGAGAAAGGAAGGAGTGTAGCAGTGGTGGGTCCACAGATTCTGGGAGCATCTAGAGATAGGATGCTGGGCCAACTCATTAGACTATGGACCTAAGATGGCCATTTTACAGGACTAGAGAGCACTGGATTTCTTTCTTTTTTTTTTCATTTTGAGATGGGGCTTTTCTGTGTTGCTCTGGTTGTCATGGATCTCACTTTGTAGACCAGGGTAGCCTCAATCCACCTGTCTTTGCCTATCAAGTGCTGGGATTAAAGGCATGTGCCACTACATGAGGCTGACCCCGAATGTTAGGAAGAGACCATATACAAAGTGGCTTAAAAAAGTCCATAAACTAATCACCAAAGGTCCAGTAGGCAATAAGCAAATGGTATCAATGATTTCAGAGGATTTCAGTGACTTCAGAGGAAGCACCTATGCAAAATACACAAGAAAATATTTTTCCTGACCAGGAATTTAATTAATGATACTGTTTCAGTTGCTATGATAAAACACCATGACCAAAGCAAGTTGGGGAGGAAAGGGTTTACCTGACTTACACTTCCATGTCACTGTTCATCACTGAAGGAAGTCAGGACAGGAACTGAAACAGGGCAGGAGCCTGGGGATATAAGCTGATACAGAGGCCATGGAGAGATGCTGCTTACTGGTTTGTTCCTTTTGGCTTGCTCAGCTTGCTTTCTTATAGAACCCAGGATCACTAGCCCAGGGGAAGCACAGCTCATCAGCTACTGATTAAGAAAATTCCCTATAGACTTACCTATAGCCTGATCCTATGGAGCCATTTTCTCAGTTGAGGCTTCCTCTTCTCTGACCTCTGTCTTTCTTTCTGTCTGTCTCTCTTCTCTCTCTCCCACCCCCTCTGTCACACACACACACACACACACACACACACACACACACACACACACAC